TAAATTATTAATACAACATTTGAAAAGAAAACAGATTGGAAATGAACTATTGACAATAATCTACTTTATAAATTAATTTTATATTACTAAATCGATATTTTTTTTATTTCACTCCTTTATGTTCCCGGTGGAAAATACAGCTTCAAATTAGAGCTTTAAAGTTTCGGTAGCATTGGTGTTTATTACTTCTACGGGATGCATGGGGGGGGGGTGTTGCTATTCTCATGCCCAAACCTCCCTCTGTACCAGTCTTATTACTGGCTTAGCAAGGTAATGGAATGCATCGGCCAGGTATCGAACATTCTACCGTTGTGCCGCCAACGTACACTTCTGTCTGTTTTCAACATAGAAGTTTTCAGCGATGTGCACCAGTTCAAGTCACCACACTCCATGTTGGAAACAAAGCAAGAGAAGAAACGCATAATAGAGACAGTAGACAGGGATATGAGACAAAAGGAATAGTAATAACGAAGAACAACATAGTTTCATTGGGTATTATAAGTCACAAGGAGTGGATGCATCTGCGCTAGCCATTGAGAACGATGACTTTGAGCCATGTCACCAACTGTTTTCAGCTATTCGTCTTTACCTCCCGAGAATCCTAACCAGGAAGTCTACACCTTCCTAGGTGGCTGGCTTAAACTAACTGTTGTGGACTGCACTGACTGATGAAGCCATATTTTGGTTTGACCGCCGCAAGCTCTTTTCCAGCCTGACCCTATGTCAGCTAACATTGCCCATTGTCGGGGAAGGCGATCGATGGCTAGTAATGCATGCGCAACACATGTCCTAACCATCTCCGTCGATGTAACTTCACAACCTTGTCCTCCATTGATTTCCTCTCCCACCTACCTAGCACTCGACCGATGCCTGACCTTATTATTGCTCACCCCATTATACCACTTCACACGGGAAATAGAGCGCAGGCACCTATGATCAAAGACAGCTAGCCAGGTTTTCTATGTCTTCCACTCTCAATGGCCAGATCTCACAGCCATAAAGGAGGACGGAACAGACTGGTGAGCAGTACAAACATCCTTTGGTCGACAGTCAGGTGGATATCACGTCTACGCCAGAGACGGCGTAAACTTAATAGATAGAACAAACTTAATTCTGGAGACGAAAAATAATTTTAGGCGTTGTATAGAATCGATTGATCTCAACATAAGTTACAGAACCTTCACGAGAGACTAGTGTAGGCGCTGGACAAATACTGGTGACATCTGGCTAGTATCGTCGCGTCCTGCACCAGTGCATACTTAACATGAGTTAGAATTTATGGATTGTTGTATTTTACCAACCAAGTAATAACGGAATATTAACACTCCTAGCTTGATAATATAAAGACGCTAAGTCCTGACATCAATAAGATAGTAGGCGGTGGGCATTGTGACGAGATTCCCAGACGGGGATGAAACTTCCCCCGCCCCCGACAGATTTCAGTTAATGATCAGTTTAACCGAATAATTGTTTGGAAAAACCCTTCTTAGCAATATAATTACAATATTTGTGGCGAGAGCTGGCTGTTAGTCAAAATTTGGTGGACAGTAATTTACGTCAACGTTTATGTCCCCCAATATTGATCGTGAGAAAAATGAGAACAAAGGCTTTGCGTAGGCGGATACAGTCAACATATAGATGATCTGACATTCAAGAAACAGCCATGCAAGGTTAACTATCTGTGCGAAACAACCAATCAGAAGACTGTGTTTTTCTGCTAACAATAATCTATAATATGTACATGAAATTTATAAATGTGTTGATTTCCTTAATAAACGATCTGTTGCCTGACTGTCTTGCCTTCTGTCGTTGCATATTTACTTATTTCAGTTGGTGGTTCAGCAATAGTACGTTCGCCAACCACACACTTGCTCCGAAAATTGATCCCCCAGCCAACACACTCCTAAACGTCGCCAAGCCGTTAAAAAAGAGAAGGTTAGGCATGAGGCTAGCAACTCCATCCCGTTGAAATAAAAAAACACCACTGCTACTAAAAATGCAAAGCTCCACCTTGAAGGTCTGTCTTCCACTAGGAACATAAAGGAATAAAATTTTCAAAAAATTAAAATTATACTCAGCTGAATGGTCTTAACCACCTCTTTACTGATTTTCCCCTTTTCCCTTAGACTGTGTGTGATACTTCTTTCTCATTGCGGTTGTGTGTACACTCACAGTGTTATTTAAAAAAAATTAGTTTGTTTGATTGAATGAAGGTGATTCCGGTCCAGAACTGTCTACAGGAAGCTTTGATGCGTGATTCTTGTGGACAGAGGTTTTGATCCCGCTCTGTTAGTTCGGGATATTCCCATTGATTCTCAGACACTTCTTACAGTTGAACTTCGGTTAACTAATTTTGTCCTACAGTACTTGTTTTGTACATAAAACGTTCTCTTGACTGTTTAACTGCCTAACAGTATTGCTGAGATTATTTTGAGTTTTTTTGTTGTTATCACTGTCGAGCAGAACCACAAATTCCAGTAGCAGCAGACAACCGTCTTTTGAGCTTTTTGTGACTGTGCATTTATTTCTCAAGGAAGTTTTTGGTCAACTATACACAGTAAGACTCACAGATCGGTTTACTGCCTTGTTTAGACCACAGTAGGTTGATTTCGGTCGTTAAACCCTATAGGGTCAGTCAGCTAACACACAGCACGTTGAGGAGGGCAGTGGTTTGAAATGCGCAACACATCTTCCAGTCATCTCAACCGATGTAATCCTAAACCTCAGTATTACTTATTGTAGCATACCTACCATTGAAAATAGGAGACAGAACACGGACATATGCGGTCAATATCAATCATTTAGTAGTGTAAGGTGTAGAGATCCTCGCTTATCGACAAAATTCCCCCCCCAAACACAACACCAAGTGTATAATATAAACACACACCGTTAAACAAACAGACATATATATATTATATATTTATATTGATATATGTATAAATATAAAGGAACTAGTATACATAAACAAACACGCACGCACACACAGACACACACATACACTTGAATAGGCACTAGATAACAAAAGAATAACGAAAAAAGAGAAGAGAAAATCGATCCACCTCATCATCGCCACCATCATGAAATCACAATGAAATGCAGCTACCAGGAGAAAAAAATCGAAGTGTTCATCATTACCACACGCATGCACGCACGCACTCCTCCCCCCTGTAGTCCTTTCACAACAACAACAACAACAACGTCAATAATAGTGATTGGATAGTAGCAGGTGGAGAAAGAGAAGAGATATTGTGTAGGGGCATAAATTTTCAGGGGTCAGGGTGGCGGTACACACTAAGTGGTGGATACCCTAATAATACCATAATATATATAACTAAACACCTGTAATTACTTTGTTTCAAGAAGACACCATCCCTACTCTTCTACAAAACCCGCCGAATATATGGATACATATATATAGGAAACTGTACAATAAAGAAAGAAAGAAAGGAAGGAAGCAAGAGAGTTACACAAACACTAATTAAGAGTTTTACATATATATATAACAAACAGGGGAGAGGTTGGCGGGTGGGGAAAAGAACCAACGTTGAAAGTACACGTGAGAGTTGGCACAGAGTTGACACATACCACCCCACCTCTGTTTGTATGAGAAAGAGAGTTAAGCAGAACAAAATGGTTAGCAGTGTAGAAGTGCTGCTGACTACTACTAAAGACACTAGTATTACTAGATGATGGCTATTCATTTTATCACCCCTTACTGGAATAGTAGAGACATATATATGTATATGTGTATATTACTAATGATGGGCTTCATCCATACATGTTATAAATATACAATATGCTTTGGGAGAGATAGACAGACAGACAAACAGGGGACATTTCATCAATGATAATATTAAAACTATACTCATCACTTTTTACTCTGTTTTTCTCGGGAAAACTAACAACCAAACTCACAGGAGAAGAACACATTTTAATTTTAAAAAAAACAATAATCATAACAATGATAATAATAATAACAATATTAGGCATAACGATATTAACAATTGTAATAATAATAAGACGAAGAAAAAAATGTTACTAGTAGCGTTCACAGTAATAAGTGCTAAGATAGATCAAATTAGGGGGCAGTGTGTGTGTGTGTTTGACGATCGATCAGTTAGTCAGTCAATTACAATCATCGACTGAAGTGAGAGCTGCACAGAGAAGTAGTAGTAGTGGGGGGGGCATCGGTATTAACACAATGTGGACTTGTGAAATTCTGGGAGAAATACAACACGGAAACACGTGTACACACACACGCCCACAATCTTTGGCATTCATCAACAAACACAATGGGCGTGTGTGTGTGTGTGAGTGGGTGGATGATCTGATGAATACCAAGAAAGAAAGAAAGAAAAGTGTGACAAAAGAAGAGATGAAACAGTAACAAGTGTTGATTGAAGTTAATATACTCAACCACAACAACAAACAGAAAGTGTAAACGCGCGCGCACACACACAAACACACACATACACACAGTTACATGGAAGTGTGGAAGCAGAGAAGAGAAGAGAAGAGAGAATACACAGCTGCTAGCTAGCTAGCTAGGTAGATAGACAGCTTAACTGGCAGCTATACTATACGCGCCTCCAACACAATATATATGTATATAAACTGTACAATAACTCAGAATAAACTATGTATAAATATAAACAGCATTAGCAAGTAAGTACACACCTGAAGCAGTTGACAAAATAATAGATATTATTATTATTAATAGTAATCAGCGTTTTTTATCTACAGAGAATGAGACAAGGAGACTGTATGTGGGTGTGAGTGGGTGTGTCAGTGTGTGTGTGCAATAAACCTGAAAACATTTTGTGAAATTAGAAACGACATGGAAAGGCAGTGTGAGAAAGAAATACAGCAACAACAAGAAAAACAACACCAACAAAATATATAGATATATATATGCATAGATGGATAGATAGATAGATAAAGAGGTTTGTGTATAGAAAGAATTACCGTTTTTGTTTGATTGTTGTTTTTATTTTCGATTACTAATTACAAAAAACATCCGAATCCAAGTCGACAGTTGTTTCAACATACTGGCGACGGTGATGATGGTGACTGGTGAATTCAACGGACTGAATCCTTGACGAGGAGGAGGAGCAGGTGGCATTAGAAGGAGAATGAGGTTGTAAAGACGTTGAAGGAATGTTTTGATGAATAGGTGGACTAGGCGTATTCTTCTTCTTCTTTAATGTACATATTGATAAACACTGAGCGATAATATTCCCTGCATTGTTTGTTCTTAAACCTGTTTCACTAGGTGTACAACCAAATGCTATTTCGGATAAAAGTTGTGACTCTTTCAGTAACCATCTGTAAAAATTTTAAAAAAAAACACAAAACGATAAACACATTAACAAAAACATAATATACATAATAATAATAATAATAACAGCTTTATTCCAAACAGTATTCGTGGTACAGGTATGGAATTTTCAGCGTGCATTACAATATATTGCATCTAATTACCTCATAAATTTTATAAGATTTTTAAAATTAAAAAGCAAAACCCAATAAAAAATAAATAAAAGAAATAAAAAGAACAGCGTTGCGTTTACATTTTAAACAGTGCACCACAGGATATGAAATATAAAATTAGTGTGTAATAGAAGATGAGAACAACAGTGTAATAGTAACCAGGAGAGGAAAACAAAAACTAATGGGACTATTTGTTAGGGCGCCGCAGTAAGTTGATCGTGTCATACCTAATGGATTTCTCATCACATAACAGCTGTGCCAGATATGGTATTGTGGAGTTTTTGTATTTGGTAGTCCTAGCATATAGCCTCCTATAGCTGCTTCTAGTTCTACCAGATGAAATGCAAGGAGACGGCTGCGCACAGAGAGGATCCTCGGGGTCTGACAATATTGCATTCGCTAGTTTCTTACATGACATTATTTGTCTACCCACAATAGTGTTAACCAGTTGGGTTAACGATATTCCACTTGCCCAACTAACGGCTTTTAGTGCCCTATACTCACAGACAAGGGAAAATCAAGGAGGCTTTAGACCAGGTAGAGGGTGCATAGATCATATCTTCACTCTTCGACAGATTCTAGAACATAGACACACTTTTCGGCGTCCAACAATTGTCATATTTCTTGACTTGAAGGCGGCCTTCAACTCCGTGGATCGAAAGGTACTATGGCAATGTCTGACTGTGAAGGGAGTGCCAAGAAAGTACATTGCACTAATCAAGGCACTCTATTCAAACTCACGTAGTCGTGTAAGGGCTTATGGGGAATTGTCATCTGAATTGGTAATAACCAGTGGTGTCCGACAGGGATGTCTACTTTCCCCATTTCTGTTTAACTTCATCATAGATATGCTAATGGAAGTATCCTTAACTGAACGTAGTGACTTAGGAATCGACTTGTTACCAGGGAATAATCTTATGGACTTAGAATATGCAGATGACATAGTCCTGTTAGGGGAGGATGCTGACAAAATGCAGAGTCTTCTGAACACCTTCAGCAGCAATCTTCGTATGTTTGGCATGCGATTCGCCCCTGTCTGTTCTGTCTGTTTTCGACATAGAACTTTGCACAAATGTGCGGAAGTTCAAGTCGCCACATTCCGTGTAGCACGCGAAGCAAGAGAAGAAAGTACAAGAAAAGCATAATAGAAACAGTGAGCAGAGGTGTGAGACAAAGGAGTAATAAAGAAATACAAAACAGTTTCATTGGAGATCATAAGTCACAGGGAGTGGATGCATCTGCGCCACTGAGAACGATTTTGAGCCATGTCACCAATTGTTTCCAACCATAGATTTTTACCGTCCCGAGGACCCCAGCCTGGAAGTCTACACCTTCCTACGTGGCTTAGACCAACTGTTGTGGATTTCATTGACTGATGCCAAGTTTTTGTTTGACCGCCGCTAGCTTTTTTCCAGCCTGACCCTATATCCGCTAACATTGCTCGTCGAGGGAGGCGATGGCTTGGCATACGTAACACATGTCCTAACCATCTCAGTCTTTGTAGCTTCACGACTTCGTCGATTGATTTCCCCTGTTTACCTAGAACTCTACGCCTAACCTCCATGTTGCTCACCTTATTATGCCACTTTACACGGGAAATAGAACGCAGGCACCTATGATCAAAGACAGCTAGTCTTTTCATGTCTTCCACTCTCAGTGGCCAGGTCTCACAACCATAAAGGAGGACGGAGCGGACTGATGAGCAGTACACCCGCCCTTTGGTCGATAGTCGAACATCTCGTCTACGCCAGAGTCGGCGTAAACTAACAAATGCGAAACGAGCCCCTTGTATTCGTGCTGAGATTTCGTCAGAGATCAGCCCGTTGGGGCTGATGGTACTTCCCAAATAAGTGAAGCGGTCAACGTGCTCTACCACTTCACTTCCTATTTTTAAACTAGGCGTCGATGTAGTCCAGTCCTGTAACATCATCTTGCATTTGGCGGGAGCGAATCGCATGCCAAACATTCGTAGATTGCGGCTCAAGGTGTTTAGAAGACTCTGCATTTCGTCAGCGTCTTCGCCTAGAAGGACTATATCGTCTGCATATTCCAAGTCAACGAGATTATTCCCCGGTAGCAAGTCAATCCCTGAGTCGCTGAAGTCACCTAGGGTTAAGTCCATTAACACATCTATGATGAAGTTGAATAGAAAAGGAGATAATGGGCATCCTTGACGGACACCACTGGTCGTCATCAGTTCAGATGACAGCTCGCCGTAAGCCCTCACCTGGCTGTATGAGTACGAATAGAGTGCCTTAATCAGTGCAATATATTTTCTCGGAATTCCCTTTACAGCCAAGCATCTCCAGAGAACTTCCCGATCGACAGAGTCGAATGCTGCCTTTAGGTCAAGAAATATAATGACTGTTGGACGCCGGTAGGAATGCCTATGTTCTAGAATCTGTCGGAGGGTGAAGATATGATCAATACACCCTCTTCCTGGTCTAAAGCCTGCCTGGCTCTCTCGTGTTTGTGCTTCCCGAGCACCACTCAGTCTACGCATGATTATTGAGCCTAAGACTTTAGATACTATATTAGTCAAGCTAATCCCTCTGTGATTATCACAGGAAGACTTGTCTCCCTTCTTGTATATGGGGATAATCAGTGACTTACACCAACCCGATGGGACTTCTTCTGATTCCCAAACGCTGCCTAGTACCTCAGTTAATCCGGACAGTAAGCTGTCTCCACCGTACTTAAATACCTCTGGCGTCATTCCATCAGGTCCCGCTGCTTTGCCTAGTTTCAGATTGGTGACAGCTTTAGTAACCTCAGTTAGTGACGGAGGACCTGTGTTTATATCCCATTCAGGGAGGTGTTGGATGCTCGGAAGGTTGAGCGTGGCTGTGGGCAAATTAAACTGCTCCTCATAATGCTCTTTCCAACGATCCAGTCGTCTATCCTGGGAGCTACAAAATGTAAGATGCTGCTACAGGACTGGACCACGTCAACCCCTAACTTAGTGATAGGGAGTGAAGTGATAGAACATGTTGACCACTTCACCTACTTGGGAAGTTGTATTAGCACCAACGGACTGATTGGCGATGAAATCTCAGCACGGATCCGAAAAGCTCGAGCTGCTTTCGCTGACTTACATCATCTCTGGCGTAGGCGTGACATCCGGTTATCAACCAAGGGACGTGTGTACTGCTCATCAGTTCGCTCCGTCCTTGTCTATGGCTCTGAAACATGGCCAATACGCGTTGAAGACATGAAAAGGTTGACTGCTTTCGATCATAGATGTCTGCGATCTCTGTCTCACGTTAGGTGGTTTCACAAGATAAGTAATGTTGCCGTTAGGCGTAGAGTGTTGGGCAAAGAGGGAAAATCAATCGACGAGGCTATAAAGTTACATAGACTAAGATGGCTAGGTCACGTGCTGCGCATGCCTAACCACCGCCTCCCCCGACGGGCATTGCTAGCTGATATAGGTGAAGGTTGGAAAAGAGCCAGTGGTGGCAAAACAAAAACATGGCCTCATCAATCCATGAAATCCTTGACAGTTAAACTGAGTCAGGTAGGGAGGTGCAGACTCCCGGGTTGGGGGCCTCGGGACTCTAGGAATCAATGGCTGGAGACGATAGGTGACATGGCTCAAAATCTTTGTCAATGGCGCAGATGTATTCAGTCTCTGTAATCTTTCATATTCCTTTCTGCCATTACCAATTCTGTTTCACTCTTATATTTGTCAAACTCTATTGATTCTCTTCACTCATCTTCTTGTCTACCTGTGTGTGCTATTTGGAACGTGGCAACTCGAACTGCTGCACTTCGGTGCCAAGTTCTATTTTGAATCCTGACAGAGACAGACAGACAGTGCCCTTCTCAGCAAAGACTAATGGGGAGCAGTTAAGAGGGATGAGTAGAATACAAGAATACATATATATAATCCGATGATTTCGGTGAATTAGATCACAAGTGGTTGAAATTTTTTATGCGTTATCAGAAAACGTGACATACATACAGCAATCCTTCTTGAAATGTATAACCACAAAATCATCAGCCCCCCACCACGCACACACACATAAACATTATCAGAGTTAATATTTGCGTACGGAGTCAGAAGTGCGACAAAAGACAAAAACCAGGTCTGTGAACTTTTCTTAGAGCGAACACGAGACAAGGCGAACAGAAACTACAATTCTTGTAGAAATAATAATCCTTTACATCTCATCGATGAAGCTAGATATGTTTAATGTGTCATGATTATGACTAGAAAGAAAAAAGCAACAAGGAAATCAGTCAGTCAGCGGAACAGTTAAAACCTGTTAACCAACGAATATGCACTGGACATAAATAATCTCTGTGGACCATTGAATGACATCATCACCACCACCACACGCTAGGTTGTCAAGTGCAATTCGAATGGAAAGCGACTAGAAGACATGGAGAAAATCATTTGATGAGTAAATGAAGAACTGTGGACATTACTCGTGCAGACAGCTGAAAGTGATGGGAGAATAGTGAGTTAAGTGCATCACCATCAGCGGAAGTAAGGGATATCATTTCGCCTATATATAGGCAGAATCATCTCTACTACTGGCGGCCAGCACAGATGAGGATGTCAAAAGCAGAATCAAAAAGGCAAAGCAGACATTCCGCATTCTGAAATCAGGGTGGAAACCTACTGCATTCAGTACATGCAACAAATACTATAGAGTTCAGGTAAAAGGACAGTTGCTTGCCAATGACTGGTGGCCACACTAAACTCGAGAAATGATGGAATTTTGAATTTGCCTGTCATTGGAAAGGGTATCACATAGAGGATTGGGAAAGCAAGACAAGCTTTTATTATTCTCAAGTCGGTGTGGAGATCAACAGCACTCGCCATGAAAAATAAGATCCAGATTTTCAACTTCAATATGAAGTCGTCAGTGATACTTACTATACGGATCAGAGACTTGGCGCCGCGTCACGAACACCACTTCGAACAAAATACAGATTTTCATCAACAGCTGTCTTTGCTCAATACTACTCAAGATCAGATGACAGGCCAGAAAAGATCGGCAACAGGGAGGGAGGGATCTTTAGGAGCAAACCAACCCAGCAGGAACCGATTGTGCAACAAATCTGCAGGAAGAAACTGAGGTTGATTGACCATACTCTGAGAAAAAACCATCAAGTGATACACCAGCCCATCGCTCAAGTGCAACACGAACAGAAAGCGGCGACTTGGTCGTCAGTGCGAGGATGACATGGAGGAGATGATGTGAAGAGGAGGTGAAAGCATGTGGGTAGACGTGGAGCCAGGTGAAAACGTTGGCAGAGAACCGAACGTAATGGAGACGTGTAGCTAAAGCCTTGTGTTGCTCTAGGGATTAAAGGAAACAATAATACTAATTATAATAATGGAGGGTCCAAGTGGCTGAATGGTCTACCACTTCGCTTTGTAACTGGAAGATCCAGGGTTCGAACCCCCGTGGGCGCGCGATGATGATGAGCCCCAAACTAGGACGAAACACCTGTCCAGTAATGCCCTGTGGTTTTCACTATCTCTCTAACGAATGTCAGTTCGCGGTCAAACTTGAAACCAGTCAAATCTCTACAAAATATCTCTTGAAAATCAAAGATTTCATGGATTACTGAGTAAATCCAGAAGCCTTTTTGGATGTAATGCAGACAAACCAATTTATCCCTCTACAAAAATGCACTTGTGATATATGCTCAAACAGAGAAAGAAAATAATAAACACAAAAGGAAGCTGAGCATCATTCTCAAGACTAAATAGTGAGGCAATCTGTCTTCACTCAAAAACCTTACGTTAACCAGCCAGGTTAGGATATAGCTCTCTCCACAAAATTGTAGGAGGAAAGATGTTTCACAAGCAACAACTAACTACTCGATAGTAGTATCAGTTAACATGCATAAATTGTTAGTAGAAGGTCACCAACAGATTGGATCGATAAAGCAGCCTTAGATACACACATTGCTAATTTGCTGCTTTATAAGTGGACAGAAACAGACACCTATCAATATATGAAAACCTTCTGACTTCATGACTGTTAAATCTAAATGACATAATTTAAAACATTTGTTTGATTTTCTACATGCTGGGTAGTCGTCTTCTAGTGACATTTTATTGTCTTACCCTTCAGTTCCGAGTGGGACAACACATAAGACTTCAGCAGCACGCTTGCATTGCACATTGTTTTCTTGCAGTCCTTTTAGCTGGCTATACAAACAACTACCCATGAGGTTTTATTTCCTTATTAGCCACACCATCATCTCCTTCATGTTGTCACCTTTGAAATAAACCTCATCCACTCGTCATTTACCGTTCTGTCTGTCTGTTTGTTTCGACATAGAAATTTGCATCGATGTGAGACAGTTTAAGTCGCCACACTCCCTCCTTGTAGCACACAAAGCAAGAGGAGAAAGTAGAAGTAATGCAAAATAGAACAGTAGACAGGGATATGAGACAAAAGGAATAGTAATAACGAAGAACAATATGTTTCATTGAAAGTTATAAGTCACAAGGAGTGGATGCATCTGCGCTAGCCATTGAGAACGATGACTTTGAGCCATGTCACCAATTGTTTCCAACCACTGATTTTACCGTCTCGAGGACCCCAAAGTGGAAGCCAGTCTACACCTTCTTACGTGGCTGGCTTAAACTAATTGTTGTGGATTTCATTGACTGGTGCCATGTTTTAGTTTGACCCTCACTAGCTCTTTTCTAACCTGATGGATCCTATGTCAGCTAACATGCCCTCTTGTTGAGGAAGGCGATGACTAGGTATACGTAACATATGTCCTAACTATCTCAGTTGATGTAGCTTCACAGCCTCGTCGATTTATTTCCCCTCCTTACCTAGCACTCGACCGATGGGCCTAGCCTCAATATTGCTCACCTTGTTATACCACTTCACACAAGAGATAAAGCGCAGGCACCTATAATCGGGTTCTACTCGATAGTTAGCCTGGTGTAAGTGATGTCAAAACAACAGCGGTCTCCTCCTCAGAGTACATGCAATCCATCTCGACTTCCTTTAGCAAACAAACAACTGAATATTGATACTTGTATATTTTTTCCAACTTATGTCTTAATACTCACAAGTATTGATTTAGTAGGGAATTTTGTTTGATTGGTTGAAGGATTTCATTATGAGTTGACACCAGTTAGAGAACCATCGGAAAACCTGAGAGTACTGGACAGCTATTTCGTCAGACTAGTTTGAAACTGTTCATCAGTACACACCTACCACAAGGGGTTCGAACCCGCGACATCCTGGTTACAAGGCTAGCTCATAGACCACTAAGTATGTCGCAATAACTTAGATACGTCCCAAGATAATTGGAGACTATTATATACAATATACCACAAACCCTTTAAGTACAGCAAACAAACAAAATCACGGTAGTAACCATTTAGATTGTTAGGTTTTTATCTCCAATCGAAATCAGAGTTAGAGAGAACATTGAAAACCGGGCAGTACTGAGAAGCTGTCTCCACCCGCTTTGGAACTCTTCAGCAGTGTCCAATCACGACCCCACCGCCCGCCGGTTAAGGGATCGAACCCCGAAACTTCAGGTTACGAAACATGGGCTGGAATCCAATGACCCATGAATTCTAACTATGTCAACTTGTGATACAGCGCTTGTAACCTAAAGGTTCCGTATTTGATCCCTGACGGCGCCTTGGTGGCGCATTGTTGAAGAGTCTTAAAATAGGATGAAACGGATGTCCAGGTGTACTCCTTGGTCTCTCATTGCAATCCCCGAATGGAAAAGACTTCTGTCAAGAATGTAGGTACATGCTGGCTGACGAATAACAACAATAAGCGAGAAACTTAAGGCTTCTCCTGACAATCACCACCTCCAACCATCTCCTACTACGTCCACATTCCAGCTAACGATAACTTTCACTGTAAGTTGTTCATCAAGAAATGTCCAAAGGTGATTTCAAACAACTACGCGCTAGAAACCTATGCTTTATAGTGTTATGAAGCACCAAAATATGTAAAACATGTCACTGAATTACGACTTATATACGAGACAAAGCATGGTAGGTAGATATACTGGTTATATAGATATCTTGGGTGATAATAAATGAGGAAGAACAGAGAGCATGGCAAAGCCACAAACTAACACACACATAAAGGAAATAAAGGTACGAAGATATTAGATGGTTGGAAGCAATCGGCCACAGGAAGCCTTGGACCTAGATTTCGTGCTAGTAGGCACTCACGGTCAGCAAGGCGTATCTGCAACTGCCTTGAAGGAACTCATGTCCTTTCTGAGGTTCGAACCCGGATTACCCAGTGCTACAACGACAGACGTTACCACTGAGCTGTTCGGACGCGCGATCGACCTCCCTCTAGGACTGTAGAGGATACTTTGATTGGCTTCCTTCTGCTCCCCTCCACACATTTAATATCAGCAAATCAATGTGCACCGTGATGGCGAGCTACCTACCTAGTGGCATGGTGGCCACATTGTAAACCTGACTGACTGACTGATAGAATTCAGTCTGCATCAAAGATAGGACTAGACGCACATCACACTAGTTAGTTACTACTGTCTAATCGAAATAAAGGTATCTTTTAAACAAAACAACAACAACAAAACACACTTACTGTCTAGCTTCTTCAATATGTAATACTAAATTTCTTAAAATTAGAGCAGAAGTGACACGAAGATGTTTTGTTACTGGTCCTTCACGTGGTGGATTATTATTTACACCTGAATGCAGAAATGGATGATTTACTGGCATATTGGATTGACAATGTGGATTTGTAAGAAAGAAATGATGTTGAGCAGCCCATAAATCATTTTGTACACTTTTGGCTTCAATAGAACGTATAATTGCCCAGGCTGAACGATCACCAACATATGGATATTCTGAGTGTAGTATATCTACGCCTGTTGATAATGATGGATTCATTACATCATAACAGTGTTCTCTTTGTGTATCAGTTATCTTTCTTTGCTCACTATTGGTTGATCGTCTTGTTTCTAATTCTTTTGGGCTACAATGCATATCAAGTACATGAGTCATTAAAGCGTATGGTGCACGAGCAAGTGATGCAGACTGACAACCACGCCAACGACAACACCGACGAACCAATTGAACAGGATATTTGTGATTAGCATGATGTTGTGAACTATCCGATTTCCAAGTCTCCTTGTTAGGCAAGTGTGTTAAGTAGACATGTTGAGCAACCTTAAAGTAAGTAGACAGTAAGGAAAAAAAACCATCATCACAGTTAGATGACCATAATATTTAAAGCGATAACGAATTAGTCAACATACAGAGTAATCGAGGATTAGTAAAGTGGTCAGGTACAACAACAGAATGAGATAGGCAAGTATGTTTCTAACAAGAACAGTCAATACAGTGTTCGACTCTCGGTATTACTTTTCACAAAAAGAAGAAGGAAACTGTAGCATTCACTGGTGGGTCACAGCACCACCACCACCTTGACTTCATTCAGAGTGGTTCAACGCACGAAAAGACGTTAATTCTACACAGCCATCCTTCATCCCTCCTGACACTACAACATGGATGGATGGCTTGATAAGACTAGTTCCAAGGTTGAGAAAACCGCCAGGATGATATTTTTAGTAACACAAATGTACTAATGGAGTTATCCCCGACTGACTTCAGCGACCCAGGGACTGACTCGTTACCATCAAAGGATGACATAGTCCTCTTTCTAGGTGAAGACGCTGACAAAATACAGAGTCTTCCGAGCACACTGAGCAGAAACTTCCGAATATTTGGCATGCGATTTGCTTCTGTCAAATATAAGATGATGCTACAACAGGACTGGACTGCACTGATCCCCAGCTTAAAGATACAGAGTGAAGCGGAACAGCATGCTGACGAAATCTTAGCACGGAAACAAAAGGCTCGTGATATCTAGCTACTGAATAAACTATGTGCACACTCAGAGGCAGTTTGAGGCATGACCAATCGAAGTGAAAGACATGATAAGGCTAGCTGTCTTTGATCATAAATGTCTGTATTCCATCTCTGGTGTTAGGTGGTATAACGTGGTGAGCAATACAGACGTTACGCATCGAGAATGAGAAGCTACATCGACTGAGATGGTTTAGGACATGTGTTATATGCATGACCAGCCATCGCCTTCCTCGACGATCAACGTTAGCTGACATAAGGGTCGACTGGAATAGAGTTAGGGAAGTGGTTAAAGCAAAACCCGTCATCAGTGTTCATCAAGTCTTTGGCAATTAGTTTTAGCCAACTACATAGATACGTGTAGGCTGTCCAGTTGGGGTCTCCGGGATTCTAAGTACCGATTGGCTAGAGACAATTAGTGATATCGGTGGAGATAGTCGTCAGTAACGCAGATGCAGGCACTCTCTCTTTGTGATCTGTTGTACCCAGTAAACTGCGATTGTCACTATTCTTCATCCCTCATTTTTCAGCGCATTATCGTTCTTTCGAGTCTTTTGTTTCCCCCTCATTTGTCTTTGTTTCTTTGTGTGCTACACGGATGGAGTGTAGCAACTCGAACTGGTGCACTTCTGTGCAAAGTGTTGTATACGTTGAGAGACCAGTTAATCAGTAGTAACAGAAAAACACAAACCACCGAAGCTGAGTTGATTTATGCTACTTGTTATACAACAGGAAACCTCTGTCATCAGTCACACAACCTGAACACAATTATTCTGCAAAACTACCAACATGGGAAGGTGAATGCAGTCACAAGCGCCTAATTTCGCAGTAGAATATTCCAACCGGCGTATAACATACAGAAAATGTCTATTAACTGATTGACTGGGATTTAGAAAGGCTGTATTTTACAGCAAGATTGGATGATATGCTCTGACCATTCACCATCATCACATACAGCCATTAAAGCTGAGAATCAAAAGTGCAAAAAGCTACTAGACAATGTCGAATGCCTTCCTCAACAAACAAACAAAAATAAAAGGTCTCAGGTTGGGTGGAGTTTATCGATTTGCATCAGCCTGATGACCATATATATATGAAGAGATAGATAGGGGGGACCTATAAAACCAACTACAACAAGATATTTAATTCAAGTTTGGATTTCCCCGTCGATTGATTGGACCGAAGTGCTCAGTCTCAGGTTGACATGTCGACTTCTTGTGCAGATGCTTCGACGATATCTGGGCATGCAATTAGAAGTTAGGTGGTGAATGGTGACTAGCAGTGCAATCCAGGATAACGCACATTTCGTCCTATTTGGGACTCGACACCGGATGTACCTCCATTCCCCAGTGACCGAGGCTCAAGCCCAGTGCCCGCAATGTCAAACGCCAATCAATCAACTGCAATCAACCGCCAAGGCCAACAGCAGTTATTGGAAACGCTACATTGACCAAAAGAGACATCTTCTTAGCTTTTGCATCCAAAGACACAAACCAGTAGTCAAAAGACATGAAATCAATGCATTTGGATGTCTTACAAACGACTGTTCGACTGAGAAACTGTAGAAGTCTCAAACAAAGGCAGCACTGTGTATGGCACAAAATTCCAAGAAACCTGATATTATTTAATATTATTATTCCCTTGCGTTCCGAGTGGAACAAACGGCTTCAACAACACATCTGCACTTTCTTCTGTTTACTGCTGTCCTCTTTAGCTGGATCCACGATTGATAAAACTGTCATCTGTTCCTCACGCGATCTCCTCTATGTCACTCTCACACCAGCGACCCACTCGTCGCTTCTCACTTGGATTTCACTCGAGCGATGGCCTGCAATTGCGTGCGGTGTCATTCGGCGACTTCCTCAATGTATGTCGGATCTATCTCCACTTTCTCCTATATATTTGTTGAGCGATCGGTACTTGGTTGGTTTGTTCCACTGCAGAGTTCCTTGTTGGTTATTCTTCCTGGCCATTTGATTTTCAGTATGGAGCGAAACCTGGTAGTCAAACTTAATCTGCGCTTGATGATAGACATATCTGGTGAATGTACACAAAAACTTGTCAGCCAATCAGGAACAAGTCTTATGATATGATAGAAGGGTCAGTTATCACGGTCAATGAAATGATAACTACCAATAAACGTGAATACCACATGATCACCAGATAATGTGCATGTTGAGACGTCCAATCACGCTCACGGTTACTATGGAGGATAGCTATTTTATTTGTAAAGAATTTCAGAAAGTCCCATTTCACACTGAAGACATTGTCTGTCTGTCTGTCTGGATTCAACATAGAACTTGGCACCGAAGTGCAGCAGTTCGAGTTGCCACCTTCCAAATAGCACAGAGGTAGACAAGAAGATGAGTGAAGAGAATTTATAGAGTTTGACAGATATAAGAGTGAAACAGAATGGGTAATGGTAGAAAGGAATATGAAAGATTACAGAGATTGAATACATCTGCGCCATTGACAACGATTTTGAGCCATGTCACCTATTGTCTCCAGCCATTGATTCCTAGAGTCCCGAGGGCCCCAACCCGGGAGTCTGCATCTCCCTACCTGACTCAGTTTAACTGTCAAGGATTTCATGGATTGATGCCATGTTTTTGTTTGGCCACCACTGGCTCTTTTCCAACCTGAACCTATATCAGCTAACAATGCCCGTCGGGGGAGGCGGTGGTTAGGCATGCGCACCACGTGACCTAGCCATCTTAGTCTATGTAACTTTATAACCTCGTCGATTGATTTTCCCTGTTTGCCCAACACTCTACGCCTAACGTCAACATTACTTATCTTGTGAAACCACCTAACGTGAGACAGAGATCGCAGACATCTATGATCGAAAGCAGTCAACCTTTTCATGTCTTCAACGCGTATTGGCCATGTTTCAGAGCCATAGAGAAGGACGGAGCGAACTGATGAGCAGTACACACGTCCCTTGGTTGATAACCGGATGTCACGCCTACGCCAGAGATGGTGTAAGTCAGCGAAAGCAGCTCGAGCTTTTCGGATCCGTGCTGAGATTTCATCGCCAATCAGTCCGTTGGTGCTAATACAACTTCCCAAGTAGGTGAAGTGGTCAACATGTTCTATCACTTCACTCCCTATCACTAAGCTAGGAGTTGACGTAGTCCAGTCCTGTAGCAGCATCTTACATTTTGTAGGGGCGAATCGCATGCCAAACATACGAAGATTGCTGCTCAAGGTGTTCAGAAGACTCTGCATTTTGTCAGAATCCTCCCCTAACAGGACTATGTCATCTGCATATTCTAAGTCCATAAGATTATTCCCTGGTAACAAGTCGATTCCTAAGTCACTACGTTCAGTTAAGGATACTTCCATTAGCATATCTATGATGAAGTTAAACAGAAATGGGGAAAGTGGACATCCCTGTCGGACACCACTGGTTGTTACCAATTCAGATGACAATTCCCCATAAGCCCTTACACGACTACGTGAGTTTGAATAGAGTGCCTTGATTAGTGCAACGTACTTTCTTGGCACTCCCTTCACAGTCAGACATTGCCATAGTACCTTTCGGTCTACGGAGTCGAAGGCCGAAGACATTGTCTAGAACGATAACACAGACTCGACAGTTGAACCATTCAGCATGCAGAATTGCAACAACACCCAAACATACATGCGAGCTACAAGTTCCAGATGTCATCAATAAGAAAATCTGCGAAAGAAAACAAAGGAGGAATTCAGCAAATATGTTATGTTCTACAACCAGTCAATGACAAGTGTTTGAGAACCCTTCTTCAAACGGCATTCAAAATGTAGACCAATATCTCCACGACATATATTTCTTATAAATAGAGTTCTCATAAGATGAAAGCAGCTATAATATTAAGAAATGCAGTGAATGTTGTTCTATAAAACGTGATAAAGCTCCGCAATCGATGAAAACATTAATTAAGTGAAGATTAGTTAAAGGATCCCGAATATCGAAAACGAAAATAGTATTTACACGTTTGGTGTAATGTGAACGATCTGTCTGTCTGTTTTCGACATAGAACTTTGCACCGACGTGAGACAGTTCAAGTCACCACGCTCCCTCCTTGTAGCCCACAAAGCAAGAGAACAAATAGGCATATTAGGGATAGTAAACAGAGGAGTGAGACAAAGGAACAGTAGTAACGAAGAACGATATAGTTTCATTGGAAATCATAAGTCACAAGGAGTGGATGCATCTGCGCTAGCCATTGAGAACGATGAGTTTGAGCCATGTCACCAATTGTTTCCAGCCATTGGTTTTTACCGTCCCGAGGACCCCAACCAGGAAGTTAACACCTTTCTACGTGGCTTAGACTAACTGTTGTAGATTTCATGTGAACGATACTCAGTCATGTTACAAAGTATCTAATTATCTTAACTCTTGGCATTCCCGTGAACTACAATATCATCTACACACCAATATCTGAGCGATTGAGGCAAGCAGCCGACCCACACTACTTGTCAAAGAAGGTGCCAATTTGAGATGCCTGACATGTTCACCTGCCATCTCAGTCAATAAAGATTTATTAACTCGTTGACCGTGTCTTCTTTCCTACATAACAGTCTACATCCAATCACAATATTTTTTCTAACTAACCGATCTCTTACTTAAAGGGACTGCCTCATAAGTGTAAAGTGGTACGGAATGACAGGTTAAACAGAGCATACACACAACCTTTCATGGATAGTTGGATATTTTGCTAGTACCTAAAGGAATACATAGAAATATGTAAACAAGCCGTTGTATTCATGCTTAGATCTTGTCAGTGACTAGTTAATCGCAGTTTTTAAATCAATGTAGAAGTTAACAAATAAAAATAACTCGTTTTCTGTACTTATAATAAGGATTGGAACAGGCCAGTCCTGTAACACCACACTATAATCGAAAAAAGCGAAACGGCTGCTCAAGATGTCTACTCCCTGTGTGCTCCCAAACAATAGGGAGCTGGATAGCATGACAATGATAGTTTAGAGCAAGCATTTAACTTTCCGACAGACTACAACCACTACCTTGTCACAATGGGCAAAAGCGATCGTAACTTGAGATCACACCACTGCAAAAAAGTATGTTGGGTAGTCAGTCGTGAGGCTGCAAGCAGTAATAATGTAAACGCATTATACTACTGTTATGGTATGAGTAGTAGCACTAGTGACGAAAAGAGCTTAACGGCAGTTAAACATTTAGTTGGAAAGATCAACATTTCAGTTGTGTTTAACATTGTACTCTAAGGCGAGGTAGGGGGTTAGAAAAGATAAAAAACAGCACAAGTTTTCCCCTAACCCCCCCCCCATAGACCTATTTATGACTCATTAACGCTGCTGATAAGCTTTTAATGCACGAAAAGAGAACGATGAAATTCACTTTACTCAAAACAGTATACGATACAATCAGACCGTGTACTGGCGAAGTACAAGTGTACACACACACTCCATACACATGATTAGAAAAATGTTTTAAAGTGAGGTAAAATCTAATCTGATAAAGTAGTGTAACAGTTAATCGATTTTGCTTTGTGAAACTTTCTTTGAGGCTATTTTTCTACTCAGACTCTCCTATTCCACTAAGTACGGAAATGTCGCAGGGAAATCCGAGTAAAACGCTGACTGATAAGCATATGCATCGAGAAAACGACCTAGTAAAGTCAAAGGTGGGTAAAAATACTTTCATGTGGCCACGGATTCATAGCCTAACACTGTCGGGCGAGCTGTATCCACTCACTTCACATGGTGGGGGTTTTCATGACAAGATCGAAATGGCAAATGCAAACGTCTGGTGTTTGCAACCGGACTGATGGACATGCTGGTCTAAATATCTAGGGGAACCAGGGAAAAACCCGATACCAAACTTATGGTGTACATAGGCTGCAGAATCCAAATAGCTAGAGTGGCAATATGAACCCGTTTTAGTCACACTGCTCTATTGTCTTGTAAATTAGACTTCAAGTTAAAGGCTGGAGGGAAGGGGCCTTTAAGACAACCGCCTGCTTCACCTCGAGCTGCTGGGACAATATCCCAGCTCTCACACACAAACTAGGAGATTCTGTGCAGCGCATCTCTCTTGGTGTTCACATAATGCATGGGAAAACAAAACAAATAGCAGGCAGAAATCACTTATAACAGGTACAAACAATAACTTACTAGGTGTCTTTGTTCAAATGTCGCTGTACAACACTCCCATTCGCATAAATACAATACCGGCTTTTCCGTGTTGACTGATGTTGTAGACTGACCTTCTGAACTTTTGGCCCCCTGATCATGATGATGATGTTGATTGACGGGATTGATGGAATCTACACCGCACTCCACTTGTGATTCACTAGTTCTACATTCATTTTTTTCACATGAATTCAATTGATTTTTAACTTCGGTGGATATTGTAGTAGGCATCTTAGAATCATCAGCCGACGGTCTATTGGTGGCGGTCACCACCTCACCTAAACCACCACCACCACCGGCATCATTGCTGACAACTGATTTATTCGACGGTGAATCATCATTAGGCTCCCAAGTAGGATCAAGCACGGAGCCTGGTACAGGATTTAACTTCAATGGTGCATTTAACGATGCGGATGTATTACAATGCATGGTGACTGCTCTATTGAGATTATTATTATTAGTGGTAGTAGTATTGATAAGATCTCGTCGACGTTTTGGTGTAAACAGACGACTCTTTGAACCCCATTTTCGTCTACGTTTTAAAAATCGATTCGAAGGATGCATAGCTTGAAAACTGATGCTTGATATCTTCTCCAGTTTATTAGAGTTGTTAGTGTTGTTATTATTCTTAATCAAATCAATATTATTATTACTATTATTGATATCTTTGGTAGACAGATTACAATTCTTTGTTGAAACATGCATGTCATCAGTTAAATATCCATTGCTTAAAGAGTTTTTATCCAACTTTTTCTCATTGGCCACTACCGCTAGCCCTTCACACTTATCCACCATACGATTTGATTTCCCACCATCCAATTCGGCAGTATTAACAACATTTGAATTCGGCTGTATCAAATAAATAAATATATACATATAAAAGATTTTTACATAATCTAACAAAGGAAATTTGATTTTAAGCAAATTAAATATTCCCCTTCCCACCCACCAACTCATTGAGTGATAACATAGAGAAAAAGACGCTCAGTGAAGAGTTACCCCTTTATTCAGCGGTATCAGCATTCTCCAGCTGCGGAATCGAATACATAAGTATGCGTATATAGTAAATTTCTTTTTCAGCAACCAAAAAGGAATGTGTATAATTGAATTTTAGATTTCCCCGCCGATTGATTGACCGAAGTGGTTGGTCTTAGGTTAACATGTCGGCGGCTTCTTGTGCAGATGCTTCGACGATATCTGGACGGACATGTGATTAGAATTTAATTGGTGGATGGTGACTAGCAGTGGAATCCAGGATAACGCGCATTTCGTCCTATCTGGGACTCGTCCATCGGCTGGATGTACCTGCATTCCCCAATGAGAGCGATGATGTTCCCACCGAGACTCGAACCCAATGCCCATAGTTTCAAGCGCCAAAATGTTATCCCTAGACTACTTGGGCCACGACAGTCACCTTTTTCTTGTGCAACGGGTCATATTAATTATTTAATTGAATTTTAGATATCCCCGTCTAGTGGATAACCCTTCGGCGTTTGAAAATACGGGCACTAGGTTCGAATTTCGGTGGGAATATCATCACTCACTGGGGAATGCAGGCACATCCAGTAGCTGACGAGTCCTAAATAGGACGACATCCGCGTTATCTTGGATTCCACTGCTAGCCACCATCCACCAATTAAACAAGAGGAACGGCTCCACAGATGTGTCATTAGAAGTGCATATTTTTTTCAAGATAATCGATCACGTAATACAGAAAGCGTTATAACCGGATAGAAAGTGAAATAGAAACCAAAATTCGTAAATTGACAACTGACAGGATTGATTGGAAAACACAATTAAAATTGAACTAGGGTCAAGTTAGGAACAGTGTTGGTAATAAAGAATGGAAATATAATCGTGGGAAAGAGAGAGAGAAAAACAATACGATTTAAAACTATCTAGTACTCACGATGTCATCCTAAGGAGCTCAGTCAAACAATATTTTTATTCGACTGTGATCATTCAGTGGACGTTGATTACAAGCTTTATAGTGATCAATAAGCGAGGTAATAAAAAATGCTTTTGGTCTTGCAGAAGCTGGGTCTATGTATACAAAGGGGGAGAGAGTAACTAACTTAGCCTAAATCCACCGTTGGGTAGCTTGCTTTCACTTTAACTTAGTAGTTTCGCTGCCCTCTCCTCTTCCCCCCCCTTCAAAGTGTTTTTCCCATTATTATTCCTTTGTCCGATATACTGTTAGTTTCCTTAGGATAAGTGTGTGCAAATCGAAAAAGCATAGCTGAATGGTAAGTAATCTTGGTGTGAGGACTATTCAAACTGTTCTATAAGTTCAAATCAGACAAGTTAAAGTCCTATATGGTTTACCTGCGTTAACTTTATCTATTTTTGCTTAACTTTAACGAAATTTCAATAGTATGGTATTTCGATATCATATCCACATGTGTATAATTGTATTGATCCTACTACCACGATAACTCCAGTGTGTATGTTCATATGTAATTTGATGTTGAATAGTATTCACTTGATAATGGTGTTAACAGATGATTATTACTCATCATTTGTAGATCGATCGTGCATTTTGTTTTTCAAATTGATACTTATTTGCTGTTGTCACAGTGGTCGTGTGTTTGTATGTCTATTTAACCTTCAAACAGAAATTGTACAAATCGTACAATGTTTGTAAAGGAGTATTCTCACAGCTGACGAGTCCTTCTACCGAAATTTATAAATCCATTGAAAATACTCCTTTCTTCACAGTTGTTGCTCGTCATAGAATTTACAACAGGAAAGGAATGTTATCAATTTGAAAGTCCCATCGAACAATTACTCTCATGTTTTATTAGGCAGTAGAAAGAACCCTCTCCCCCGCAGCTTTATCCTGGAACACCTGATCGAATCTGGACACATACCTAACAACCCACAAACCAACTTCAAAGTCATCCTTACAGAGTAGTCGGAAATTTTTGCCAAAAGAGTACGAATCAAACTTTTTCAAATCGCAAAAGCAAAGACAAGTCCCGAAATCGGTCTACAAAAGAAATGTGTTTAATTTGTGATTACAGCTTGATTCCACGCCGTATTTTTTCGTACAGGTATGAAATTTTCAGCATGGGATATCGGTAGGCCAAATTTTGTAGGCCGACCATAGATATCAGGCATGCGTCGGCAGGGGATCCAACCCCCGACTAAGTGCATGGTCGGCGAGAGTCCTAACACCACTGTGTCACCGATGCACTGAACCCTAAAATGGACTTCATCTGTCTTAACCCTGGATACATAGTTTTCTGTTCTCAATTGCCTCATTGTGTCGGTGGCATAGCGGTTAGTACTATCGCCGACCGTTCACATGGTCCGGGGTTCGATCCCCGACCGATGCACACCTGATATCTGTCTGTCTCTGTCTGTCTGGATTCAACATAGAACTTGGCACCGAAGTGCAGCAGTTCGAGTTGCCACGTTCCAAATAGCACACAGAGGTAGACAAGAAGATGAGTGAAGAGAATTAATAGAGTTTGACAAATATAAGAGTGAAACAGAATGGGTAATGGTAGAAAGGAATATGAAAGATTACAGAGATTGAATACATCTGCGCCATTGACAACGATTTTGAGCCATGTCACCTATTGTCTCCAGCCATTGATTCCTAGAGTCGCGAGGGCCCCAACCCGGGAGTCTGCATCTCCCTACCTGACTCAGTTTAACTGTCAAGGATTTCATGGATTGATGCCATGTTTTTGTTTGGCCACCACTGGCTCTTTTCCAACCTGAACCTATATCAGCTAACAATGCCCGTCGGGGGAGGCGGTGGTTAGGCATGCGCACCACGTGACCTAGCCATCTTAGTCTATGTAACTTTATAACCTCGTCGATTGATTTTCCCTCTTTGCCCAACACCTGATATCAATGGTCGGCCTGAAAAATTTGGACTACCGAGACCACATACTGAAAATTCCATACCTGTACCAAAAAATACGGTGTAATCTAAAATAAATAAAAAAAGTAACTGTCGTCGTCCGAGGGTGAAATGAAGGAGGTCATGTAAAGAGGAGACAAAAAAGTATTTGGGCAAACATGGAGCCAGGTAAAAACGTTAGTGAAGGAGAACCGAATGCAATGGAGACGTGCAACTGAAGCCCTATGTTCCTCTAAGAACTAAACGAGACAATAATGATATATATGTATATATTCGATTGTACGACTTGAGAATGCTATCGTTGAAAAGAGTAACTTCTTCTTCACTGAACATCTTGTCTTTTTTTTTTAATTTTTCTTTAAACAACGTCATTTAAAAGTACATTGACTGATCAAATATGCCGTTTTAAACGCCGTCATCATCATCACAACACAGCCACACATAACATCCTATAGATACAAACATACTTCTTGACGTACACACGACTGTTGACTCTACACACCCTACCAATGAATTTTAATAAATACAATACAAGTCTTTATTCCACAGTATGCTACAAAGATAGATGGATAGATAGATATAGATATAAGGAGATTTCACTTTTAATCATAAATATATGTGAGACACAGAAAGAAGAGAAAAAAACCTGATTTTTGAAGACACAAGAAATCATCGTCTCAACAACAAAAAAACCAAGCTCAATGTCCTTTTATTTTTTTGGTCAACATTGAAATTAATTTTTCAAAAATGTTCATCAGTTAAATATAAAAGAGAAACCAAAAAAACACTGTTATCAACACACGAACAACACCTAAATACCATTTAGTAGTATTACCTATCACAATTGTTAATAATGGATAAACTTACTGTCTCAGTTTTTGTCTCTCCAGTATACAACACACCATTGATATGCTGTTGTTTATTATCATCAGCTGATTTCGATTGTTCTGTGGACAGTTTAATTTTTTTATCTTGTAAAGCTAAAACAGCTTCTTGTAAGATACCACCACCACCACCACCACCACCACTAGCACGAAGACCATTTGTTGTATGCTTACTGTTAATAATAACAATATTATCATCAGCATGACTATTGTTTAATAATTCTTTATCAACGACAACAACACTCGAACAATCAATACTGTTCTTCTCTTCATCTCCGTTAACGAGTATTGGTTTAGTTTCATTATCGACAACAACTGGAACGCATGGAGAAGATGGACTTGATTGGTTCTTATTATTATTGGTAGTAGTAGTAGTAGCATTACTATTATCACAATCTTCATGATTTGAAATAGACTTTAATTGGGGTGGGGAATTTCGTGAACTGTTTGCTTTAATCATACTTTGATTGGGTGATAATTTTATAGGACTATCTTTATGTACATGTTTATCTGTTTGTATTGATGACAGCTCCACATCCTTCTCTGAAGTTGTTGAATTTTCTACAAAATATAAAATCAATACAATGAATACTATAAAGTCAGGAGGGGGTCAAAACACCTCAAACATATACAACATATGATTTCATCATGAGCTGACATTAGTTAGAGAACCATTGGAAACAAACCAGGGAGTACTGGACAGCTGTTTCGTCCTAGTTTGGGACTCTTCAGCAGTATGCACCCACCGGGATTCAAACCCAGGACCTTCCGGTTACAAGGCGAGCTCGTATACCACTAAGCGGCCACTGGGACCCAATCCATTGGTCCTTGAATTCTAACTTCTGCCAATTCACGACATAGCCAATGTCTTCGGCGAGTATTTGTCTTCACACCCGACCTGCTGCACCCTACTGGTCGCGACTTCCCACTGGAACCCAGGTAACTACCTACCTGAATAGGGCCAGTCGCCAGTGGGTGCGTACTGTGAAGAGTCCCAAACTAGGACGAAACAGCTCTCCGGTACTTCCAGGTTTTCCAATGGTTTTCTAACTAATGTCAGCTCATGATGAAATCATGTAACCAATCAACCAAATCCCCACAAACCAATACTTGAATATACAACATAATTTTTTAAGAGTTAGTTTGTACGGATTTTATTTTTATTTATTTCCAGTTTGATCACCGATTGATATTAATCAGTGAGAGAACAATTAGAGATCCACCTAGTCGGAGGTGAAAACAAATACTCACCATGGATCACATTAGCTGGTAATCGAGCTAGAATCACGAATTGGTAGAAGTTTGAATTCATGGCCTTATTACTGGGTCGAGTACCAGTGAGTGAATGGTTGCCTTGCAACCGGAAAGTCCTGGGTTCGAACCCTGGCGGTGGGGTGAGTCTCAAACTACTATCCAGTATTTTAAGTAGTTAGAAAAATAAGTATACAAACAAAAGTTAAGTCAAATCAACGGATCAACTCGTAAAACAAATCAACGGAGTTGTTACCATGAGAATGGAAGAGGTTGGATAATTTTCTCTTGTATGCATAGTTCTGGTTCTTCCCACTGAATGCCTAGGGCTTCTATAATGCAAAGAAGACGGAAGCGTATTGTCTTTGGAAGGTTGTTCTTCACTGTGTAGATCACTTTGAAGGAGGCGTTTGTTGAAATGGAATGACCAGTGTTGACGAGATGTTCGATTATTGCACTCCTTATACGGCCACTATTTCCTTTCTGTAACCACGCTGGATAGTGTTCTTTGACCTTTTTTGACAGGATGCGCGTTGAACGACCGATGTAGCTGGCTCCACAGCAACAGGTGAACTGATATATACACATGGAATTGGTCAGGTGCGGGATCTTGTCCTTTGAGCTTCTGCTGATCAGCGGGCGACTGGAGAACAGTACTCTCAGTGTTGCCGCGAAGAAAGTTCTTCTTAAAGAAGTGGAAATTCCCCTCCCAAGAACATCACAGAGTAGGTCATCCTTGCAGTCGAGGTTCACATAAGGTATCGTTTTTGGCACGGATGGTGTCTCTTGCTTTTGGATTTTCTGTTTGATGTTTTCGTCTATGAATCTTGCTGGATATCCGTCTTGTATGAAGCTTTCTTTCAAGAAGTGTAGTTCTTCTTCCGTGGTATCACAGCTGCAGATGCGTCGGACTCGAGTGGCAAGAGATGTAATTGGGTTTCTGTTTCGACTGATTGGTACCCAGCTGTAGAAGCTTGCCAGTTGACCGTTCCACGTGGCTTTCCTATAGATAGACCGTCAGCTCTCCTTGTAAGTTCAACATTAAGAAAAGGGATTTTAGATTCGTTTTCAGTTCCAAGAGTGAATGGCATTTGTTGAATATTTGAAGTAACCAATTGAGATCGTGACCGTCGTCGTCACAGATAATAAAGATGTCGGCCACATATATCTAACATACAATTGAAAATTGTCAGTAGTTGATTTGAGTGGGCCGTTCTCGAGGTTTGTCATGAAGCAGTCTCCTTGCGTAATTCCGTATATTATTTTGTTTCCATGTATACCCAGTATTTCTCCGCTTGTGCCTTCAATGGTTCTCTAACTGATATCATTCACAATCCGTGGTCAAACCTGAAACATACAACATAACTTCAGACGGCGCTGCTTGTTTCCAATGTGTTCATATTATTGTTACTCTATTCCCCTCATCCAGTTAGACAGTTCAAAATAGACTAAAGGTTTTGTCCTACACGATTAAGAAGCAAACCAGGTAGTAAGGTCTTTCCTTCAAAAGAAAGCTGTATCCTCAGGGATATGCTAAAAGAACCACTGGATGGACACTCTTCAGATTATGACAATGGCTTAAAACCATTCTCAATAGGGAACAGACGAATTCACTCTCTACGAACCATTAACTTCCCCATAGTTTTCCATATCACATTTCTGCTGATTATAACGCTTTCGCGTTACTTTTTTTCTTTCTCCCCTCCCCCTACTGATATGCACTACATGCAGTGTGGAGTAAAGTGAACTCTTGATTTTCTATGCTAAGTTCTATGTTGAAATCGAATAGAGAGAACACACTTTCATTAATTCATCCTTGTTTGACTATTTGTATAAACATATCAGAAATCAGAATTTTTTTAAAAGGTAAATGTAGGATGTTTTACTGGCTGGGTACACTGAAAATTCAATGACTGAATAAACCTTATTTATGTTCAAAGTTCAAAATACGAAAAAGGATAACCTCTACAGGTCGGAATTTTAACCGTCTATTTTCTAGGAATTCCCACACTGACTGATTGGTTTCAACATAGAATTCTGCACAGAGAGTACACCAGAGTTAAGCATACCACAATCCGTGTGGCAAGTAATAACGAAGGAAGACAAAAATAAAAGAAAGAAATTCTAAAGAACGATGTGTGAGTTGAATGAAGCGCATGCGCGCATTAGAGAACGATTTTTAGGTCATGTCACCAATTGTCTCCAGTCATCATTGGTTTTTACCATTTCGAGGACACCAACCAGGAAACCAGTCTACACCTTCCTGTGTGGCTTAAACCAACTGTTGTGGTTTTTATTGACTGATAAAGCCAGGTTTTGTTTGACCACCATTGGCTCTTTCCTAACCTGATCCATCCTATATCAGTTAACAATGTCTGTGGAGGAAAGCGATGGTTATGCATGCATACATAACATACGTTATTTTTGACTAGTGTAATGTGTCTAGTCCCATATTCAGTGCAGACTGAATTCTACCAGTCAAGCTTGCAGTGTGGCTTGGTGGCTCGTCCATTAACGGTGCACTGTGAACTGTTGGTATTAGATGGTTGGAGGCAATCAGCCACAGGAAGCCTTGCTTGACCTAGGTTTCGTGCTAGTTGGCACTCAACAGTCAGCAAGGCTCCCTGTGGTCGATTGCCTCCAACCATCTAATACCAACATAACATACATCCTAAGCATCTCCATCGATGTAGCTTCACAACTTCATTGATTGACTTTTCCTCCTTATCTAACAACACACGACGCTTAACCCCAATAGATGGCAGTGAAGTTGGCTCGTAGCATCAGTTAGTGACTTGAATTAATTAAGAGGAATAACGAAAAGACTTCGTTTCTCCCCCAGTAAGTCGGTGATACGCTTGGTATGCGAACGGTAGATACTGCTACACAAGCAGCTGAACTGTAGGATACACTTACATCGGTAGCTGTAACTTGTCCTTTATACACAATAAAATTAGTAGTTGTGTTGAAAGTGAGTCCCCCCCCCCAAGTTTAACTACATTTTACAAAATAAGCAATTTCTTAATATTTGTACGTAAAGCGACAGATTGAGGAAAAACAGTTTTTGGATGATTGCTCCCAATCAGGACAATTTTAAAAGTATGCAAGTCGTCTTTGAGAGTGTCTGGAATCTGTAATATCTAGAGAGTTCACATAACCCATTAGCTTTTATTCCTACCAAAGGAATCGTGGCGTCGGTGGCATAGTGGTTAGGACGCTCGCCGATCATGCACATGGTCCGGGGTTCGGTCCTCGGCCGACGCACTCCTTTACCTCGCCAGGCCAGAAATAATGCTGGTAAAGAGGAAAGGTTGGGCATGAGGCTAGCAACCCCATCCTGTAAAAGTAAGCACTGCTACGGAAACTTCAAGCCACTAGCTTGAGGCCCTATATTCCACTGGGAACGTGAAGGAAAAAAAGGAATCGTAGGTGTGTAGTGGCAAATGGTCTCTGAACAGACAAAAATTAGCTGTTCAATTACAATCTGGTTCTCAATAACGCTCCAGAAACAAACGATGTCAGTCTGTAATGAAACCCAAGACAATGACTGAAAGGTCAACACGGTTATCGCAGATAATTCATTCGAACAATGTAATATCTTAGTTTAACGAATCTGACCTTATTTTTAACCTAACTGGGTATAGACTGGTGGACACGTAAAACAGGTGATTCGTTCACCGAATTCAACGAAACGTCACAAACTTGATCATTACAATTCACATGATACACCTATTATTTTAGACCGCTGGGTGACATCGCGCGCGCGTCAGGCCATTGCTCGAGTGGAACCCGAAAGGGACGCGGTGAATGGATCGTCGGTGCAAGGGTGACATGGAGGAGATCGTGTGAAGAGGAGTTGAAACAGTATGGACTAACATGGATGAAGGTGAAAAATACAGTAGAAGACAGAAGTAGCAAGTGGAGACGTGCGGTTGAAGCCCTGTGTTCCACTAAGAACCCAAGGAAAGAATAATAATAATAATCTTACAACACTGACCATTTTGTGACCTTATCATGTCGTAAGTAATGCTTTCAAAGTATAGCATACACTCTTGGCCCACCATATTCTAAGACAAAATTGACTGATGTAAACATTTACTTCGATATACCGTACATATGTCGGATCAACTTCTGTATTGGCGTTAAAATCTTACCAGTTACAACCGACAGTTACGGAGCTAACTTCTGCAATCACAACTATTTGACACATTATGTCTATAGTCGGAAAAACAGCTTGTGCTGAAGAGAAATTGTACCAGGGAGTTGCTAAATGGATATTTAAAACATTTAACCGTCGTTAACCGTATGTGATACACTACATATTGTCAGCACCATGAAGCGTAACTAAGCATCAGATGAATGAAATACCTCCGAGGTTTTTCAAAAACATTCACCAGTTATGCTTAAAATTAGGATAGAAACGATTTATTTTATCAACACACACACACACGTGTAACTTACCTGAAGAACACGGAGACTTGGAATTGCTTGAAGTGACAGACAGTTGTGATGACAAGTCACCTATGCGATGATCAGTCATCACCGGCATATTCCCTGATGAGCAATTAGTCCGACAAGGAGAATTTGGAGTCGGCATTTTCGATTTATTTGGCAGCTGAGAAGACGAGGAAGGCGGGGGTGGAGATGACGGCAGGCTATTTCGTGGTTGAGGCCATTTTCCCGACCGACGTAACGCAGATGGCGGCGGTAAAGACGGTGGTGGCATTTGTAACCGGTCTGTCAGTTCTGATAAACTTGGTGTTATTGTTTTAGGCGATGTGTTGTTGTTGATGGTAGAGTTGGAAGATGCTGAATCCAGCAGCGTTGAGGATACAATTAAGTTTGAGGATGATGAAGAGGATGGTGTTGTTGAAGAGAGTAAATTGATAAGACCTGAGCAAGCAGTACTTCCACTTTGAGGTCTGTAAACCGGTTGTGGCATACAAGATACTGGTGTGATAATGGATGGTTTCAGTGGAGTACTGGATTCAGATTTTAAACTATGAAAGGAAGAAGTAGTAGCAGGATTACGAAGATCATTAATAAAATTAGAATCGGATGGGATTGAATGCAGTTTAGAAGGGGATTTTGGAAGGATATACGTCTTAAATGTTTGTCCACTATTAGCATGCAGTGATTCTCGAGGCCGATTAAGGTCATTCACACTAGGAGGTGGTATACGACTGGGCACAGGTATTCGAAAATTGGGCGCATGCGAGAGTTGAGGTTGTGATTGAATTTGTGGATTACGAGGTAACAGCTAGAATAAAACAGTAAAAAAAATAGCAATACAAAGTGAAACATCTGCTCTAAATCAACTTTTCGATAGTATACAAATTCTACAAACCCTGGGAACTAGAAACAGAGCTGTGCTAAATTTTCGTAAAAACTCAGCATTCTTGATGATGAGATATTATTCAGACGACCTTAGTGAGTTACTTTAAAATTCTACATAAGTGATAATAACTGAAAGGAGAATGTGAAGTGAGGATTTATATTCCGTAAAATAGGCTGATATATATTCATTCAGTATACGTGAATCAAAGCAATAAATTACAATAATTAATGACAAATTAGAAACCCTGTGTTTTACTTTGTTTCAGAAGAAACTGCCTCCCCCACCCCCACTAAAGAAACGAAGTGGTACAGCCAAGAGAGGGTAGACTTCGATCTTCCTCACTAAATACTCTCATATAGCCTAACTCTATCACGTAAGCCCGATTCAAGGCGTTTACGAGGCGAAAGTGTTCCTCAGAAAAATGAAACTGCAAATGCAAATGCCTGGCGCTTACAACCGGACTGGTAGGTATACTGATCTGTCTGTCTAGGGGAGCTGGAAGGCTCTCATCCCAAACTTAACGTGTATATATACGGTCCTAGAATCCAAATGGACTGACTGGTGTAGGAATCTGTTTTGGTCAGCGAAAACCATGGGAACGTAGCTCCTGACTCTGCTCCACTGTCTTGTGGATCAGTGGATCAAATCAATGGCTTGGGGAGAGGCCGTTCAAGAGAATCACTTGTACTTTGCTTTTGGCTAGGACAATACCCCAGCCTGCATACAGACTGAGATTTTGTGAAGTGCACCCCTGCAGATGATATATTTCTTCTAGGCGAAGACGCTGACGAAATGCAGATTCTTCTGAACACCTTGAGCTGCAATCTACGAATGTTTGGCATGCGATTCGCTCCCGCCAAATGTAAGATGATGTTACAGAACTGGACTACACTGACTCCTAGTTTAGAAATAGGGAGTGAAGTGGTAGAGCGCGTTGACCGTTTCACTTATTTAGGAAGTACCATCATCCCCAACGGGTTGATCTCTGACGAAAGCTCAGCACAGATACAGAGGGCTAGTTTCGCATATGCCAGTTTACGTTGTCTCTGGTGTAGACGTGATATTTGGCTGGTTTTCGACCAAAGGGCGTGTGTGCTCCTTAGCAGTCCGCTCCATCCTCCTTTATGACTGGCTGTGAGACCTGGCCATTGATAGTGGAAGACATGAAAAGATTAGCTTTTTCGATAATAGGTGCCTGCGTTCTATCTCCCGTGTGAAGTGGTATAATGAGGTGAGCAATTTTGAGGTTAGGCATTCGTCGAGTGCTGGGTAAGGAGGGGAAATCCATCGACTGAGATGGTTAGGACATGTGTTAGGCATGTCTAGTCATCGCCTTCCTCGACAAGACGGCATGTTACCTGACATAGGATCCATTAGGTTAGAAAAGAGCGAGTGGTGGTCGAACCAAAACATAGCTTCATCAGTCAGTGAAATCCACAACAGTTAGTTTAAGCCAGCCACGTAAGAAGGTGTAGACTGGCTTCCACTTTGGGGTCCTCGAGACGGTAAAAATCAATGGTTGGAAACAATTGGTGATATGACTCAAAATCGTTCCCAATGGCTAGCGCAGATGCATCCACTCCTTGTGACTTATAACTTTCAATGAAACTATATTGTTCTTCGTTATTACTATTCCTTTGTCTTACACCTGTGTTTACCGTCTATTTTGCTTTTCTTGTACTTTCTTCTCTTGCTTTGTGGGCTACAAGGAGGGAGTGTGGCGAATTGAACTGGTGCAAAGTTCTAATAGAATAAACTCTTATTCCACTATTCACAAAATTTTATAGTAGAAACTCAGTAGTGCTAATTCTGTCTGTCTGTTTTCGACATAGAACTTTGCACCGATATGCGGCACACTCCATGTAGCACACAAAGGAAGAGTAGAAAGGAAAAGAAAAAATAGTGCTAATTCCGCTTGTTTAGAAGCAAACACTAAGCCCATCCCCATCATCATCATCTGTTTCTGTGATACTTTCATTACAAACTGGATGCGAATTACCGGTCAATTATCATTCAATGAGGTATAGAAAAGATAGTTACGCTAACAATCTTTTAAGTTCTAAGTAGAAATTATCACTTCAAGATTGAGATTTGAAGTTTCAATAGTTTTGATGGTACTTCACTATTATTACTGTGCAAACATGAGCTGTTGAATACACAGAGGGGTTTACCACCAGCTTAAGCACTTGTCTTTAACTGAGTGGGCCCTGGGTTCGAACCCCACTCCACCTTTACTTGAGCCTAGCTGCGCAGGGGAGGGGGAGGCAACTGGGTAGTATTTCCAGACCTCACACACAGTGGTAGGTGTGGCTGATAGTCCAAGACACGAAAGACCTGCTCCAGTAATTCAGTTAACTATCCAGTTGTCAAACACATCCATACAACCAATCTCTTTCTTCTCAAAAATCCAAATCCACTTCTCTTACTAAGTACTACTGGTAAATGTGTACCAGGTGGACTTTCTTAACAGCTCCTAAAGATCCATATATGTTGGAGAAAAATCTCAAAACTTAGTTTTTCTGAGTCGATGATGATAGGAGAAATCTGTACAAGAATACAAATAACTCGTCTCTTTCAGTTAATGAGAACAGGCTAAGTCAAGCCTCATTTATTAAAAGGGGATTGTAACTTCGAAGTTGGATGCCCCAGAAAAACCAACTGAACGAATGTGTGCTGCTCAATCAGATGTGTTACTGGCAATCCAATGCGCTTGGCAATGGGACCATGTCTACTGTGTAAGGAATGGTTATACCACGTGGGGATGCCTAAACCTTGGGTGAGTGGAGCGGGAGACTACCCCATGACCTACTTGGTTGGAAGATGGGAGCCTAGAACCAATGAGCTACAACTGCTACCTTGATATAGTCGTCTGGCTTGTATACTGCAACGACCCAATAAGTTACATTAAGCGAAAGGAATATTATTATAGTTCTTCCCATGCCAGAAAGAATATTTACATAGCGATTTGACTAAAAGCAGACAACATTCTAGAGTAGGTTATCGACACTATGTTGGGTATCAGATAGCGAAGTCGCACTGCTGGTGAATGTGGATAGGGGAGTGTACCAGCATGTCCGATGCACTACCTCTTCGTTCTAAGGGGGAGAGGGCGAGAGATAGAAAAATTAGACTCGATCCCAAAGATTTTAAATCCCAGTGGTAAGACCTTCAATACGGACACAACACTGAAAACTACTTCAAACAGACTAGAAGTGACCGACTTCAAGCAGTTGTCCTTTGGGCTCTGGGGTCAAGGAACGCCCACTAATGCTCTTTGTTTCAGATATCTCAAGAAGAAATCAACTTCCACGATATAGGCATCCACAATGCTCACATGATCACCAGACCTACAGAGTCTGACATGGCTAAAACAATTTTGACTACTTTAAAAACCCTAGATACCTCTCTAGATATCTAGAGAAAGTAATACAGTGAAGTGTTCTGTCAGACTAAATTGTGCTAGTACAGTTTATTCTGACTGTCACATATGCTCATACTGTGTAGGAATATAAGTTAAGGCTAAATGATTACATAGTAACATGTAATCTTTGCAAGAAAATACAATATCGAATCACAATCAAAGATACCTTCAAGAATAACTTAACTACACCTGAAATAAAAATTGACTTACCCTAATACGATGAAGGGATTGTGATCCCATCGCCTGACCTTCCAATGTTAACAATGCTAACAAAGGTTGAAGTAAAATAAAAGGAATGTTTCTACCACCACCACCGTCCAGTGAATCCAGATTTGAGCAACAAGACTCCCAACATGTAACACATGTTGTTGCATCCAAGTTTGTCAAGCAGCGCATAGCTTCTAAAGTAGCACATACAATTGCTAAATCTGGCAAACATAACAACTGAGCAAGCCGTGGCCAAACAGTTTGAGGTAGACCAACTACGAGACTAGATAGATTCCCTTTATCGCGTACTTTGGTTAAATTAGCCAGAAACATCAAACCTTGAGAAGAAATTGAAAATATTTTTTCAGTAGTATCGTAAGCAGCATTTGACACTGAGTATATATGCTACCAAAAAGAAAAACCAATACACAAAACGGTAACTTACCCGCAATCAAATCACAACGATCACTGCTCTCTAGAATGCATCGAGTTAGAAATGCTAAAGTCAATTGTCCAAGACGACAACCATTATCAATTAACGGTGTCCAATCATTTGGACAATCCAGAGGAAGTGGTACACTAGGCGGATCCAATGGATAGCGTATACTTGAGAGTAGTTGTAAACCCAGAGATTTTAAACCTGAATGCTGAGCATAACAACATAGATAGATAAAGCGTAGAGCGTTTGGATTTGCGGCAATAACACGTGCATTATCCCGCCATGTTGCAAGAGGTATACCATTTGGAAAAAGACTACACGGTCCAATAGGTCCAAAATCAAGTTCATCATCATCATCATCTTCACCGGTGGCAGATGACGCGTAGACAACAGGTGGTGGAGTTACTAAATTAACAAGAATTGTAGCAATCAGTAGAACACGGGAACCTTCACAACCTTCTATACACCAATGGGATTTATAGAATTCATTGGAAGATGGAGCGAAAAGTTCATTTAAGGCTTTCTCTTCATCTGTATCAATCTCATCGGAAGTATACTCTGAAATAATAAAAAATAAGAAGAGATTAGAATTGGTGCATTCTAGTTAATAAATAAAAATGTACATATATAACAACCCCGTGGTGATGCGACGAACAATGCAATCTGTATACTCATGAGACCTGTACTGCAAAGCACTTAGAAACTAATGATGATTAACCAGTCATAAAACACCTTAAAAACAGAAAATATTTCTTAGAAATCTCGACACTAGATGTTACATAAGTATTATTCATTTTCAGTCAACAGAAATAAATTAGTTACAGGATTTCATCAAGAGCTGACATCGGTTAGAGGACCATTGGAAAACCACCTGGGAGCACTGGACAGCTGTTTCGTCCTAGTTTGCGACTGTTTATCAGTACGCAACCACCGCGTGGGTTCGAACCAAGGACCCTCTGGTTACAAGGTGAGCTAGCTCGTAGACCGTCAAGCCACTGGGACCCGATCCAATGGACAGTCCATGAATTCCAACTTCTGCGAATTCACGAAATAGCGCGACCTCTAGCCAATTTCTTCGGCAAGTATTTGTCCTCACACCCGACCTGCTGCACCCTCATGGTCCTGGGCTCGAACCCCAGTGGGTGCGTACCGATGAAGAGTCTCAAATTCGGATGAAACAGCTGTTTAGCACTCCCAGGTGGTTTTCCAATGGTTCTCTAACCGATGTCAGCTCATGATGAAATCCTATAACCAATCAATTAAATCCGTACAAACCAATACTCGAAGAAATATACTAGATGGTTGAAGGCAATCTGCAGGAAGTCTTCGACTTAGGTTCCGTGCTTGCTAGGACTCGTCAGCAAGGAGTATCTGTAATTTTGAAGGGACAAAAATCCCTTCTGAGATTCGAATTAGGGTCACCCAATACTGCAGTCAGAGACGTTACCACTAAGCTATTCGGACCCGTGGCTGACTTCCTGTAGGACTGTGATGGATACTTTCATTGGGCGACTAAGTAATAATTAATCTCATGGCGTTTAGTCTTTGGTGACATGAGGTTCCTCCAAGATTGAAGATATGATTCGCTGACTGCCAACAAGCACGAAGCCTAGATTGAAAGCTTCTTACTATCGACTGCCTCCAACCACCTACCGACATTTCTGAGTGTACTATGATGGAGACACACCTAACATGGTGGCCATATTGTAAAACTGACTGTGACAAGACTCACTCTGCATCAAACCAAGTACTAAACACATGGCACTAATTACCACCACCTAGTGACCAATCAGCAGAAACATAATTCAATTTCTCTTCACTTGTCTTTTTTCAAACCTTGCTTACAATTATTGGGAGAAACAATGAATACATAGAGAAAAATGAGAATTCAAGCGATTCGGCAGTTAATAAAGGACTAAATGCATCTACACCAAATGAGAATAATTTTGACTCAAGTGGTCGATCGGTAGGTCAACTAACAGTTAGTTCTTAGCAATAATGATATTCCTAATTAACAGGCTATCAACTGTACCATGTATGCTAAGAGAATCAATGAAACGTATTCATGGATTAATTCACCAAACTCAACAGGAAATAAGACACCTAACTGGTGAATTAGACAAGACTGTACAAGAATTTTAAAGAAAAGATGCGCCCTTCTACGTGCATATATATATATATATATATATATATATATATATATATATATATATTATACCTCTGACATTTTAATTTTGATTATTTCCCTTAAGGAGTTCGGAGTAGTCTCTCTGTCTCTGTTTTCGACATAGAACTTTGCACAAATGTGCGGAAGTTCAAGTCGCCACACTTCCGTGTAGCACGCGAAGCAAGAGAAGAAAGTACAAGAAAAGCATAATAGAAACAGTGAGCAGAGGTGTGAGACAAAGGAGTAATAAAGAAAAACAAAACAGTTTCATTGGAAATCATAAGTCACAAGGAGTGGATGCATCTGCGCCACTGAGAACGATTTTGAGCCATGTCACCAATTGTTTCCAACCATAGATTTTTACCGTCCCGAGGACCCCAGCCTGGAAGTCTACACCTTCCTACGTGGCTTAGACCAACTGTTGTGGATTTCATTGACTGGTGCCAAGTTTTTGTTTGACCGCCGCTAGCTTTTTTCCAGCCTGACCCTATATCCGCTAACATTGCTCGTCGAGGGAGGCGATGACTTGGCATACGTAACACATGTCCTAACCATCTCAGTCTTTGTAGCTTCACGACTTCGTCGATTGATTTCCCCTGTTTACCTAGAACTCTACGCCTAACCTCAATGTTGCTCACCTTATTATGCCACTTTACACGGGAAATAGAACGCAGGCACCTATGATCAAAGACAGCTAGTCTTTTCATGTCTTCCACTCTCAGTGGCCAGGTCTCACAACCAATAAAGGAGGACGGAGCGGACTGATGAGCAGTACACCCGCCCTTTGGTCGATAGTCGAACATCTCGTCTACGCCAGAGTCGGCGTAAACTAACAAATGCGAAACGAGCCCCTTGTATTCGTGCTGAGATTTCGTCAGAGATCAGCCCGTTGGGGCTGATGGTACTTCCCAAATAAGTGAAGCGGTCAACGTGCTCTACCACTTCACTTCCTATTTTTAAACTAGGCGTCGATGTAGTCCAGTCCTGTAACATCATCTTGCATTTGGCGGGAGCGAATCGCATGCCAAACATTCGTAGATTGCGGCTCAAGGTGTTTAGAAGACTCTGCATTTCGTCAGCGTCTTCGCCTAGAAGGACTATATCGTCTGCATATTCCAAGTCAACGAGATTATTCCCCGGTAGCAAGTCAATCCCTGAGTCGCTGAAGTCACCTAGGGTTAAGTCCATTAACACATCTATGATGAAGTTGAATAGAAAAGGGGATAATGGGCATCCTTGACGGACACCACTGGTCGTCATCAGTTCAGATGACAGCTCGCCGTAAGCCCTCACCTGGCTGTATGAGTACGAGTAGAGTGCCTTAATCAGTGCAATATATTTTCTCGGAATTCCCTTTACAGCCAAGCATCTCCAGAGAACTTCTCGATCGACAGAGTCGAATGCTGCCTTTAGGTCAAGAAATATAATGACTGTTGGACGCCGGTAGGAATGCCTATGTTCTAGAATCTGTCGGAGGGTGAAGATATGATCAATACACCCTCTTCCTGGTCTAAAGCCTGCCTGGCTCTCTCGTGTTTGTGCCTCCCGAGCACCACTCAGTCTACGCATGATTATTGAGCCTAAGACTTTAGATACTATATTAGTCAAGCTAATCCCTCTGTGATTATCACAGGAAGACTTGTCTCCCTTCTTGTATATGGGGATAATCAGTGACTTACACCAACCCGATGGGACTTCTTCTGATTCCCAGACGCTGCCTAGTACCTCAGTTAATGCAGACAGTAAGCTGTCTCCACCGTACTTAAATACCTCTGGAGTCATTCCATCAGGTCCCGCTGCTTTGCCTAGTTTCAGATTGGTGACAGCTTTAGTAACCTCAGTTAGGGATGGAGGACCTGTGTCTATATCCCATTCAGGGAGGTGTTGGATGTTCGGAAGGTTGAGCGTGGCTGTGGGCAAATTAAACTGCTCCTCATAATGCTCTTTCCAACGATCCAGTCGTCTATCCTGGGAGCTAATTATAGTGCCATTTTTTTCCGAGATTGTCTCACTAATGATTTGTCTTCTCCCACCCGTTTCCCTGATGAGTCTAAATAGTTGCCTGGTGTTGCCTATCCTCGAAGCTTTCTCCATCTCTTTGGCTTTTGTCACCCACCACTGTTCACGGTCCTTGCGGAGACTTTTCGTAAGTTTCCTCTTGTGCAGCTTTCGCTCCTCATTGAATTCGGAGCTCGCCGGAATAAGTCTTCTAGCATCTATCAGTTCGGATGAGGCGGTGGAGATCCAGTGGTTTTTGCTCACCTTTGGGTTCGGAGGAGTCTGATGAACAAGACGCTGGAACTATTTATAATTTCAATTTAGCTGAGAGATTACATAAATATATTTTTTTCTACATGTGTCTACTTCTCATCGCCTAGCTCTCAGTCAAATCTGGATCAGAGTCACCGTCTAGGTTTTGGAAGTATGTGGGCGGTTGTTACTTCCTGGCTACCAACACCGTGGAAGTTGGTTGATTCTTCAGGTACGTTAAACAGAGAGAGGGTTAGTGTTGCGTGACCGCAGAACCCAGGGGACAACTGCTTGAGCCAGGCCGGTCAAACACAACCTGTATGAAATGGTTTTTGGGATTGGTTCCATATTAGTATACTTACCGCCGATTACGGACCACCATAGGGTAAGTCGAGATGTACAATTTTTGGGTCGACCTTTTCTATCCCCCTCTCTCCAGAGTGGAAAGACAGAATAGCTGGCTGGCATGCTGGTCATCTGAAGGAAATACCTCACTGCTGTTACACCCCTATTCTCCAGCAGTATGACTTCACCCACAGACCCCTAGCATAATGTAAGAAAGATTCTTATATTATGCCGGTAATTGCTTTTAGTCTAATCGCTATCTTAACAACCTTCCTGGCATGGTAGGACCTACAGGAACATTGGTTCCAGCCAGTGTAGCTTGTTCGGACATAGCGATGTGCAAGCCCGACCACCACGTCAAGGTAGCAGCTATCGGTCTCAGGGGGGGAGGGGGGCTTTCAGATCTGCAGTTTTTCTCGACTGTAAAATGGAATATCTGCCCAGCCCAACCCCGGTGACCTTCCCCCCACCTCATCAAAAAACCAACCACAAACTTCGGATAAAATCTCCCGCTTTAAATCTTTAAAGCTAATATAGAGAACAAAAAGAAAACAACACACAGGCTTGTTGTTTTCTTGTCATAATAACATGACAAAAGACAGATGACCAGTGAACTGAATATATATATATATATATATACGCAGTAAATAATTTTATTCGAAGCACTTTAAAAATTATCGTAAAATAAAAAAATACAATCTTGCACTTGCATAAAATAAAATGAAGCCGTACAATGAATGACCTCGTGCGTCAACAACAGCAACAATAAAAAGTCAAAACTATATATTCTATTCTATTCTGATGATTGGTTATCATCGAAAGTCATGTGACGCAATTTTATGTATATACACACAACCGTAAGAACAAACACACTTGAAGCCTAGATAGATAGAGGATAACTGAAAATCTTTCAAAGTTAACTTTGTTGTATAATACATATGTGTGTATACATCTGCGCATGCTTAAAATAAATCACTGGAAAAATGATTTTTCTCTTAAAAAAGGATATCAATCAATTTTTTCCATAATAAAAAAGAAAATTTGTAAAAGTAATAAATTGTGAAAAAATAATTTACACTTACCAGCATTAATGAATACATCAGGGCGAAGAAAAACACGACCAGAAGGCTGACGAACAGCATTGTACCAAAACTGTATAAAAGAAAAATAGTCAGTAATAAGAAAATCATTTCGGTGATATATATATACATATATATATATACAGAGGAGAGAAAATAAAACCCATAAAAACTAACAATTATAAGACTTCTGAAGATCGAGTCCTGCTCTGTTTTATCTAAGGTAACAACATAATGAATGTTTACAACACAGCCAAAAAAAGTCTCGTGGTAGATAGACCAATCAAATTAAAAACAGCTGATTAAGCAGTTGACCAATGAGAAGAGTCATACACAATGCATACACAAACACGGAGTACTGTTCACCTAATAGATTCACTATGACGACGCCTTTCATCTACACACCCGTCCCCGCCTTTCAATAAGATATAATAAATACTGCTTTGAAGAAATGGAGGTTTATTAAAGAACCCACGTTAAATAAATGATGTAAGCTTCAAATTTAGTAAAGTAATGTAGAGGAGGGGCGAAGAGACAACAAAAACTAACTAACTCAGACTAGTTTGATCATATGTAGCATTTTTGAATAAAAGGTGAAACTTTTATAATCAAATGAGAGATACACAGCTTCATAACCTCAACATTTGCTTACATCTCTCTTTTCAAGTTCGACCAAGGAGTGATATCAGTTAGAGGACGATTGAAAACCAGCAGGGAGTGCTGGACAGCCGCTTCGCCCTAATTTGGAACCCATGACAAACGCTCGCCGATGACATTGGCTAGTGGTCGAGCTAAAATCATGAATTCGTAGAAGTTTGAATTCATGGCCTAGTCGTTGAGTCGGGGCCCAGCGGCTGAATGGTCTACGAGCTTGCCTTGTAACTAGAAGGCCCTGGGTTCGAACCCTGGCGGCGGGCACATAATGCTGATGAGTCTGAAACTAAAATTAAACAGCTGGCAGTCCAGTACTCCTTGCTGGCTTTTACTGGTTCTCTAACTGACATCGGTCGGTGATCAAACTTGAAAAATATGTCTCTCTTTACTTGACACTACGCCTAATCTCAATACTACTCACCATAGGATAATACTCGACTCGGGATATAGAACGTTAACACCTATGGTCAAAGACAGCTAACCTGTTGACGCATTTTCCGCTTGCAACAGATGTCTCACACTCATAAAGGAGAACGGAATGAATTGTTAAGCAGTACAAACATCTTTTTATCGATAGTCGGATGACATAAGCTGGTGGATTAAATGGCACTCCATACCTAGCGACTACGAATGAGTTGTAGTGTCAACATCGGCTAATAATTTCCCAGCCTACCTGGAAGGATATAAAGATGTCTATACGAATCTGCAAGCCTCAGGATAGGATACTTTAGTAATTATTCTATGAACACAATTACACTTCAACAGACAAGATACAATGATAACTTAAGACTTCGCTTAACCAGTCAATTAATTAAGCAGATAAAAACAAAAGTAAAATCATCAATATATAAGCAACACAGGTTTCTTTGTGTACTCATTATTTTGAAGAATTGACTAATTTCCACTGTAAATTCTGTGTCAATTAATAAGTGTCTGACAACTGCACTTGAGAATACTGCCTTTGCTGTCTTTCATAGAGACAATAATATTGGGGATATATGCTCAGAAAGTCTAGTAAACTCTCTCTCTCTCTTTCTCCTCATTCTATCCTTCCTACGTGTACTTACTGCCACAAATGTGCAAGTGAATTGGTAAATACAGTTGAAGTTGATATGAGCAGAGTACTTATCTACTTTTGACGGAGTTGACGAGTATACCGTGTTGTTAAGTGGAATGAGCCTAGCGGCAGGAAATGTCCTTTTCAAAATACACCCTTAATTCTTTTTATCAGCTTTTGTGGATACTTCTTCCCTTTAGTACAAAGAAGTTTGTAGTTGGATATATTTACAAACAGACACGCTGATGCAATGATAAACAAGGATACTGTCACAACAGAAATCTAATCTAAACAGGTGGGTGATAAGACTTACCTTTAAAAAATCTAGCTGGCTTTGACGTCTCCATGTTTCATCACAGGAAATATACGATCCGAAACCTAAAGTAAAATCCAATTGAAATATATTTTAAAGTTTCTTGTACAGTCAGTTATCAGAAAAGAGTATCGAACAGACTCAATGAATCACTGTCCATCTAATCCACACATAGCAAGGGGAATAACTAAGATCACAACATGTAAGTGAACCGTTGATTTGCATTTACGTGCTTAAAGCAAACTAACGGGTAGATGGTCCAATATGAAATCTTTAGTAGAAGTACATTAATTGAAATCAGGACACTTCATAACAGCATAAAAAGCGGAAATGAAGCTAAGAGAACTGTCTGCCTGTTTTCGACATAGAACTTCGCACTGATGTGCTAAGAGAACTCCTGGATTCTATCAACCTATATACTTTAAATCTGAGAAACATCTGGTATCGGTAACAAAATTGTTTACCTTGTCAGTCCAGGCTAACTAGCAGGCTGAAATCTTATTTCACTTCAGTCAGAATAAGCCCATACACACATTAGAAACTTCATTATCTGTTAGATATCTCTCTCTCTCTCTCTCTTCTGAATTACAATCCTTAACAGACGGTCGTACTCAACCTCTTTATTTATTGCATACAGCATACTTTTTTTTCTGTGAGACAAAAAAGCCATTAATGCCTGAACACCGCTTTTCTAATCAGAACTTCTGGTGAACAACTAATTTTAAAAAAGCAACAACTGTGAAGAAAGCAGTATTTCAATGGATTTATAAATTTCGGTAGAAGGACTCGTCAGCTGTGAGAATACTCCTTTACAAACATTGTACGATTTGTACAATTTCTGTTTGAAGGTTAAATAGACATACAAACACACGACCACTGTGACAACAGCAAATAAGTATCAATTTGAAAAACAAAATGCATGATCGATCTACAAATGATGAGTAATAATCATCTGTTAAGACCATTATCAAGTGAATACTATTCAACATCAAATTACATATGAACATACACACTGGAGTTATCGTGGTAGGATCAATACAATTATATACACGTGGATATAATATCGAAATACCATACTATTGAAATTTCGTTAACGTTAAGCAAAAATAGATAAAGTTAACGCAGGTAAACCATATAGGACTTGAATAACAGGACTTTAACTTGTCTGATTTGAACTTATAGAACAGTTTGAATAGTCCTCACACCAAGATTACTTACCATTCAGCTATGCTTTTTCGATTTGCACACACTTATCCTAAGGAAACTAACAGTATATCGGACAAAGGAATAATAATGGGAAAAACACTTTGAAGGGGGGGGGAGAGGAGAGGGCAGCGAAACTACTAAGGTAAAGTGAAAGCAAGCTACCCAACGGTGGATTTAGGCTAAGTTAGTTACTCTCCCCCCCTTTGTATACATAGACCCAGCTTCTGCACAACCAAGAGCATTTTTTATTACCCTGCTTATTGATCACTATAAAGCTTGTAAACAACGTCCACCGTATGATCACAGTCAAATAAAAATATTGTCTGATTGAGCTCCCGAGGATGCCATCCTGAGTACTAGAAGGCCATTAAGTGCAGTATTCAGCAAGGCAGACCGGAAGACGCCTTTCCATATGCCCAATCTAGTTGCCTCCACAAGCACATGAAAACTGATATACACATTTTGATATGGCGAGAATCGATATCTTATCATATCCTGTTGCTTGCACTACCTTTTTTTAACATATGTGCCTTGATGAATATTTTTTCACTTAATATCGGCGTTAATAGATTATTACTCACCACTTATAGATCATAACTTTGTTCAAATTGATACTTATTTGTTGTTGTCACATAATGTTCATGTGTTCATATGTGTATTTAACCTTAAAACAACAATTGTATAAATAACAATGTTTGTAGAGACGAGCATTCAGCTGATGAGTCCTACTAAGTATTTTTTTACTATTTACCTTCAATGCAGATGAAAGACCTGACAGACTAAGCTGAGAAGACGCATAATTTTTCAAACTTACAAAACCGACTAACAACTTTATATAAACGGGATGAAGTGTTTACATAACAGTAACCTTCACAGACATACATACACATACATTTGAAATTATTCTTAACAATGACGACAGCTACTGAACGTGTACAAACTGTGCAAAGTAGGGGTTTTGCACATCTTCATTTATTTACAAGATTGAATTTGTAAACAACCAAATAAATCCCCCTTGGTGACATCTGTGCAGAAAAACTACCTAACAACTTGCTACAATTTCTTGTTTCAAACCGAATACTCTGTGAAAGTCAAAAAAAGTAATGAAATCCAACAAACACCACAATACGTATGCATGCAAAATCAGAAAAAAACAAATCGTAATTCAGAATAATGCAATAAAATTAAACCACATCGATTTCAGGACGATGATAACTGTCATCTCTAGAGTAGGCCTACGGTCAAGATATCACGTTTTGGAGATACATATCAAAAAAAATCCAAGATAATGATCACTTTAATACAAAAATCTATTTGCGAATATTACCCCCTCCCAAAAAAAAAGAAAAAAATCGTATTAAAAATAATTTTATCATATAGTTGAGTAATCTCACCTTCGCCATATATGCCAACAGAGGCTAAAAGGAGGGAGAGCAGATTAGGGCAATGAGCTATTCGAACACTAGTCGACGAACCAGATGATGGAGTTATCGACAGGACAAGCAAGGCGTTCAAGGCAACTTCTATTTCATTTGGTAGACCTGAACAAAGAGCTGATTCTACCAATCGCAGTTGTGATGGCTCATATAAGTCAGGGAATTCATCTAAATGATGATTGGAGTCGGAAGTATCATTGTCTTGACTGAGCACAGAGAATTCTCTATTAGTTTGACCAGGTTCCTGAAAACAAAAATATATTGCGTATTCTTACATAAAATGTGGAAATACTTAATTATATAGATTCGACACAAACTCCCAGTGTGTTAGTAAATAGGTCACAAGTGAACGACAGGATCAGTTAACAACTTTAAGATATGAGTATCGTGCAAAATTACTCAGATTAGAAAGTGGTAAAAACAACATCCCGAAACAAACTTTTTGCGGGTTTACATGGAAGCTCCGATATCAATCGTAACATCAAAAAGCCAGGTTGGTTTAGGAACTGCAATTTTGTCGATTAAGCAGTATTAAATTCGAGAGACTCCTGGTAGCTTTCCTGTTACAGACAAGCATTGATTAACGGTGTACATCTGAGTCCTCATAAGGTGAAAAATGTCTGTCTGTCTGTTTTCGACATAGAACTTTGCACACATGTGCGGAAGTTCAAGTCGCCACATTCCGTGTAGCACGCGAAGCAAGAGAAGAAAGTACAAGAAAAGCATAATAGAAACAGTGAGCAGAGGTGTGAGACAAAGGAGTAATAAAGAAATACAAAACGTTTCATTGAAGATCATAAGTCACAGGGAGTGGATGCATCTGCGCCACTGAGAACGATTTTGAGCCATGTCACCAATTGTTTCCAACCATAGATTTTTACCATCCCGAGGACCCCAGCCTGGAAGTCTACACCTTTCTACGTGGCTTAGACCAACTGTTGTGGATTTCATTGACTGATGCCAAGTTTTTGTTTGACCGCCGCTAGCTTTTTTCCAGCCTGACCCTATATCCGCTAACATTGCTCGTCGAGGGAGGCGATGGCTTGGCATGAGGACACTTAGATCATGTAGCAACTAAACTATCGCAGATTAAACACATCAATCGAATCCTGTCAGTCGAAACCCTTCTAATAATGTTAACTAACAGCATGGAATAACTTTTTAAGAGCTACTACTTGGTAATGGTTCACTGAAATTGATAGACCCCAATGGTCACGTTTTTTCAACGGAGGTTTGTAAAATGCCAGAAACAGGTGAACTAAGGAAGCAAGTTGGGAAAAAATTGAATATGCAGATTGATACAATTCCCCCATGTTACCAAGTTACACATGTCTGTCTGTCTGTCTGGATTCAACATAGAACTTGGCACCGAAGTGCAGCAGTTCGAGTTGCCACGTTCCAAATAGCACACAGAGGTAGACAAGAAGATGAGTGAAGAGAATTAATAGAGTTTGACAAATATAAGAGTGAAACAGAATGGGTAATGGTAGAAAGGAATATGAAAGATTACAGAGATTGAATACATCTGCGCCATTGACAACGATTTTGAGCCATGTCACCTATTGTCTCCAGCCATTGATTCCTAGAGTCGCGAGGGCCCCAACCCGGGAGTCTGCATCTCCCTACCTGACTCAGTTTAACTGTCAAGGATTTCATGGATTGATGCCATGTTTTTGTTTGGCCACCACTGGCTCTTTTCCAACCTGAACCTATATCAGCTAACAATGCCCGTCGGGGGAGGCGGTGGTTAGGCATGCGCACCACGTGACCTAGCCATCTTAGTCTATGTAACTTTATAACCTCGTCGATTGATTTTCCCTCTTTGCCCAACACTCTACGCCTAACGTCAACATTACTTACCTTATTAAACCACCTAACGTGAGACAGAGATCGCAGACATCTATGATCGAAAGCAGTCAACCTTTTCATGTCTTCAACGCGTATTGGCCATGTTTCAGAGCCATAGAGAAGGACGGAGCGAACTGATGAGCAGTACACACGTCCCTTGGTTGATAACCGGATGTCACACATGTAGTTGCATGAACACCGTACCTCTAAACTGATGGTAATAGGGGTAAGTATCGAAAAGAAAACAAAATATGCAGAACACTGTACATCAGTCAGTCAGTAATACGCTTGACGCAATCAACATCCAATAACACCTGTTCATCATAGATGAATCAACATTTTATGAAAATGCTGAGACAGAGACTTGGTAACCCTTCTGAACCACATGTTCGAAATGAGACAGAAGACAAACTTATAAAGTTGGACCAGGCGCAAATATTTAAATCAGGGTTAATCACTATATTTGTGGATTGGCACACTAAGGAACGTAAGCAGTTGGATATGAAGTCACCTAACTGAAACGAAATAACTTTGAACCTAGCTAAATACATAGTGCTAATGCGATATAAATGCCATGATTTGTCAGAATGTTGAGCTGATCTGTGTTTGGCAATATCGGTTGTCCGGATCGAGTTCTCAAGATGCTAAGAGTCAAGAGTGAAAGATTCACTTATTCTTTATTAATTCCGAGACTATGAACAGTGCTGAAGCTTGATGTTTTGTATATAAGATACACAAAACACTAGCATTTCATGTACAGAGCGTAAATTATACAAATGAGTCAAGAAAATGACACAGAATAGAATTAAGCTAATTGTCACAATATCGACATGTGATCAATGAAGAAAGCTCGTACATTGTTTAAGAATCTGCATTTGTTGTATAAGAATACGGAAAGTAAACTAGCATCACACTTACACCTGTCCTTTGGTACTTTAGGATCAATGGTACCACTGTCCTTTACTATCAGTAGAAACGCTACTAAAACGAAATACTGACCCATTAGGAAATGTGAAAGCTACTAAGTTATTTAATAAAAACGGGCAGATCAACACTGTGCACTTGTTTAGGCTGACTTCTCACTGTAATACACAGACAGAAGACAAGAGCTTTTGCAACAAAAGAACTGAGGTAGAATAGGGAGAAAAGTAAATAAAATAAACGACATCACTTAAGCTTTGGAAAATAGTGGTTTTATCTAACCCAGAGTAAAGACCACATCTTCATGTGGCTAACTGAGATCTAACGTCTAGCATAGTAAGGATCTAAAGTAGCGTACAAACTGAATACACTGTGCCAGATGTCTTGGAATGAGTGTATCATGTAATGAGGCAGTTCTGATATCCTTTGTTTACAGGATGAATAACGGATAAAGTAACCCCTGCTAGCGGTGCTTGCGTGTTATTTCAAAACGGTGCTTGGTTTCAGAGTAATACATAATAATCAACCCCTTAAAAAGCATATTATTTCCAATCTTTCCAACAAAGTATTGTCACTAATAACAATTCACTGCATCAACCACATTAAGATTCTGATACAGATAGTGTTTTGCCAATTCAAGCGCTATGCCTCTTGTAACCATACCGCTACCAAACACGTACTACCTACCGAAGTTTGATCAACCAAAGAGTAACGCAAGCTCTTACAAAATAAGTACAGCTCAGTTGAAGTATGGATGCCTATAAATTCAGGGCACTGGTAACAGTGTGTTAAGGGAATTACGATAAACTAAACACAAATGGACTGTTTAATGCAAGGGTACAATATCAGATGGACAAAAAGTTGAGTGTACACGCAGTCAGCAGAAACGGATTGAGACAGACTCTGTTATAACACGGTAGATCACCATTTCGAAATATTGTTAAAACCATAAAACTGAGACAAACTTAACATGAAATTTAAACTTACCTGAGTTAAAGGGAAGAAGCGAGATCGGTATGACCGGTCAAGAAAATCACCTGCTGAGTGAGATGTCATGTAACCATGTTGATGCGATGTACCAATTCCAAGACTTCGTTCGACTGCAGAAAGAGGGAGGCATATACTTTCCGGTTCAATATCCGGCTCCACAAGTGTCTGTACCAGAAATTGCTCAGAAAGAGCAGGATATTCTTTAATTTCAAAATGACTCAAGAATTGATAATAGATTCTCCGCAAACCCACACTTGCATTCGCACATTGCAATGGTAAGTTGAGCTCTCTCGCCACATCCAACCACAGTCCACGATCACATACTGTTTTGTAACCTCCCCGGGATATCACAGCCACGAACAAGTCACAGAGCTTTATTGGCTTGCCTAAAAGTCTTGGCAATTTACGGTGGTAATGCCTAGGGGAATACTTAGAATAACCAAAAAAACAATACCTCTGAATCCGTTTAAGGAGACGCCTATTGTTTGAAACTTCGCGTCTTAAAGTTCTGCTGGTTTGTGATATGAAGCTCGGGCAACTGGTGGAACGTCTGCTTTTATTCATCTTACTCGTAAAGAAGAAGGAGTGAACCAAGTACCAGAGCCGTAGAACAAAGGAATGACAGGGCTGGAGATAATTCCAAAAACCATGGAACCTGGATATTGTGATGCCATAAATCCTTACAAATAAAATATAGTCCGAGACTTACCCATAAAAAAAATTAAGAACTTAATTCATGACCGGTTAAGAAAAAACCCGGGTCAAATAATCGACTTGATTGACTTTTTCATGCATTAAAACAAATGTAAAATGTGATGTATTTCCTAAATATCTTAGTTTCAATCACTACGTTCATCCGTTTACTACCGTCTATTGGGGTGCAAGTGGCAAAATTGTGTGCAAAGAGGATGAACCTGAAGTTTGAAATAGAAACTGGGTGATTCTATGTTCAACTTCTAATTCATGGTTTTATTTTTATTTTCCTTGCAACACCTTCCTCATATGCTATTTAGTAAGTCTAATATAATGCCACATAGAAGTAATGCATGCCACGATTGCGCTCTTATTCCGTTATACATAGAGCGGATGAGACAGTAATAGGCCTAACAATCCTAGATGTGAAAAATACTTCGTATTAAATTATGGTTGTACCGCTATTATCCTTAGAAATTAAATGAAAATGCATTAGGTTAGTTGAGAAATGGCCGTCATTTGTTGATTCTGAACGTTCGAATTTAGTGTGAAACTACTGTTTTTCTTGAACCAGAGACATGCTGACAATCCGAGCTTGCTTAATATATGCTTGGAAATTTAACCTATTGACAGCATTAGTAGAGGAAGAGTAATACGAAGCAGGGGAAACTAGAAGGGAAAAACGGCAACGACTGAAGGTTAGCAGTCTTCAAAAGCAATGGGGCATCTAAGTCCAGATTCTGCGAGAATAGTGGTTAGTGGCATAGTGGTTAGGACTCTCGCCTACCATGCTGAAAATTCCATACCTGTGCTAAAAAATACGGTGTGGAATCAAGCTGAAATAAAGAAATTAGGTATGCTGCATATATAAAGTCACCACCTAAGTACGGTGAATTCATGTTATAAAATCCGTGTCCGTGGTCCTAGTATGCCAAACCAACATGCCATGAAAACAACACTATACCAGCTAGACTAATAAAGGAAAACCTTTACTGACCACTTATCACAAACTGAAAATTTTCAGCAGAAAGGATGAAGATCACCAAACAGTCGTCGATCAACCGAGGACATTTCTCCTCGTAATGCGGTTGACTGACCAAAAGCTCCTCTAGGAATGGATGTTCCCGGTGGTAGTCCCTGTGCTACTATGTCGTCACTGATTTGCCTGGGACTTCTGGAGTAGGCAGCTTGTTCTTCGATGTGGAGATACTCCAACATCAAACAGAGATATAGCAGGTAGCTGTGGGCTGTCGTTAATCAAACCTGGTGGACCATGACCGATGTGAGAAAACTCTGAAAGCAGAGACGCATTCCAGTGGTTCTCTAACTGATGTCAGCTGATGATTAAATCCTCCATGCAATCAAAACATTCTCAAAACACGACAATAGACAACATGAGTTGTAACATTTGATGTATTGTCAGTAATGCAAAAGTTTCTGGTGACAAGTGTGATGTCAACAAAGCAAGCTTCCTTGGTCACATAGAACCAAGAATTATACCATAATGACAATAAAACACTTCGGCTAACGGCGCAAGATCAGTTTTAGTAAGGCCGGCTAACTCGTACAATCAATGCATAAAGACATCATATGGTGGAGGGAACGACTAGATGCCTTTGCGGCTACATCATAGTCCTAAGGAGTAACATAACTGAGCTCATCTGCCTATCCTCACGTGTCGCACTAGCAGTCAACGTTTTTTTGGAGATTTCTCGATCACTCAGTGCTAAAAATCCCTGAACAGGAATCCTTGGGAGGATTCTGCGCTGAAATGGCCAGGAAGGGAAGAATATGAGCAGAGCAGCAACATAAACAAATATCAAAACGTGACCAGGTTTGGCCGCAAACGTAACGCCAACTGAACCCGTGGAAACACTGGTACTGCATGACTGAGCAGCACTAGGTTCCTGTAGAGTATGGCATATATCCTCGGGATACAGAGGGAAACGCAAGCAACATGTACTTGTAGTGACACAGACGGTCCCGACTTTGTTATTCGACTACGTAACTGCTGCCAGTCATTCCAATAATCCACCTCTGAACTTGTGTAAAGAGACGAAAACATACAGGAATCCTTGGTAGCGACCTGCTTCATGTCAGTAGCGCTGCTGGTCTCCACAAAGCCATTAGGGTTTGCATATGTTGGGGGTGGATGACAAACAATCTGTTTTACTGAGTGACCATTTGCCTATAAGTGGTGTACATCCCCAGTAATCAATGGGCTGAGGCGGTCACAAAATAATGATGTTCAACCTAGTGACCAAAGGACAGTTGAACAAGGATGCCTATCCTACATGACGCTGAGCAGAGTCAACTTTTCACAAGCTAGGGAGTCTCAAATATCAGTGTATTCGTCTCAAGTCTGATACGAACTACCATAGGAAAAGCTTAGTGCTAAGAAGCCCGTAGAGTATGAAAATATGAGGTGACAGGAGGATGTCTCAAACAGTTGAGCCCCAATAATCAACAACGATTCATGGCGCGGACAAAACGCGCTAAAAAGGGAGCATGTATTTCTTTAAGCCATGGTTGGGTACCATTTAGAAATCTATAGATGGCTGAAACTTAAGCTTTGCCTTTGAAACATACTGTAGTAGGAAAAGAGCAAATGATATACAGGTACCCAGAGCATAGCAGTCCATCAGAAAGCAGAAAAAAATTTAAGGCTTAACTTCCGCTCACCCATGGTAGGTCACTGAGCCGAGTTGGCCACCGTTTTGTCTGGCGAAGACAACATGATTAAGAAGCCTCGTCGTGGGAGATTTTTCCAACACACATGTGTCTCATTTAATTCATCTGCTAATTCCTCTCTCCAATAGACGCTAACCTTCTTTTTTCCTCGTTCACTGTTTTGTCAAATATTTGGTCTCCGTTTCCCATTTTCTATATGTAAAATCTACTTATTCGCCAAATATTTCTTCCGTTTCCCTAATGTTGTATTATCTGGACAATCTCGATCTATTTGGAAAACTATTTGACAGAACGATATTTTCAAGTCCGTTTAGAGTCGGTACATTGGCAGAAACCACAGAAGGTATCCAAAGATTTCGGCTCAGTTTGTCAATGTAGTTGAAGATTGAACGATCCATTCATGGTTGTTTGCTCAAAACCAACTCCTCCATAATTTCCGTGGAAGTCGTCAATCCATCAGTCATCGTCTCATTCTTCGCTATTCGATGGAAGAAAGAAAACTATCAGAAACCTTGTGTATAATAACCATATTGTTGGTTACATATTGGCGTGAGAATAGAGGATTCCCGAGTCGCCAATCTGTGTTCTGGTTTTTCGCGTTGGTTGTTACAAATTGTTTCTGAAAGTCTTCCAGGGACAGTGTGAGGTCCAGTGTAGTAAGAACCGGACATTGACAGTTTATGAGAGTTTCTGTTCCTCTTTCCTCATATCTGCCCGTCTTCTTCGGACAAGTGTTATCTGGAACTTTTCTAGATTTTTTGGTCAAGTTCATTGATGCCTGGGTCAAACAAAAGACAAAGCGTTTTCAAAGCGGAGAGGAAAGTAGGTAATGCTGAGTTGCCTGTTATATGTAATGATGTGTGCGATGTTAAGCATGATAAGGTTGATGTCCGTGTTTCACCGTCTAGGGATAATAGAAATTTTAAAATCTCCAAATATGAGCCTCGGTGTTTCGTTTGAAATCCAGCTGACTATCCAGAGTTTGTAAAGGAGTTTGAAGTCATATTGAGTGGGTTTGCAATAAATGACGAAACGAAGTTAATGTATTTGTTGAGGTGCTGCACTGGAGTTGCTTCAAGAGCTATTCAGTGCTGCAAGTATATGCCCCGAAACGCGGGATATACTGAGGCGATGCGTATCCTGCGTCAAAGGATTGGAAGACCTTCGACGATTGTAAGGAACATATTCGAGGCTGCTGAAGGTAATGGTAGTCAGTTACAAGATGACTCCAAGGCACTCTCTGAGTTTCTGGATAATCTGATGACTTGAAAGAATGCATTGGTTTCGATGAATTGCATGAGTGACCTCAACTCGAGTTCAGTCCTAGAGGTAATAGCGAGACGCCTACCTACTCGACTGCAAAGGAAGTGGGTGAAGATAAGCTCTCGTATAGAGGATGAAGGTATTGATCCAAGGTTTGATGATATCCTGAAACTGGTAAAAGATAGCCTCAATCTATCTATGAGCAAATTTGCCAGTATATTGCATCCCACCCCTAGAATAGAGAAGCCTCGGAGCAGAACGCAATCATTTATGACGATAGGGTCTCAGAGAAATGGATATCGAGAAAGCTTTATGGTGTCCATTGAGTGTAACAGCTTTCGTGGGACGTCCCCAACCGATAGGTTACAAGTTGCGAGACGAACACTGTTGTGTTTTACACGTTTGCAAGAAGCGCATACAGAGGCGAACTGTGAAGAAGGGACCAAGTTTAGTGGCAAGCTAAATGTGAAATCAGCGTCATCAAGGTCTGACTACGAAATGTGTGACGATGGTGGTGCAGTGAAGAAGCCTGTAGTTGCAGCCAGTAGGCGATTGCTGAATAGTGTCACAGACGACACTGCAGTTTGTGCAGGATAAGAGAGTTACAGTTTCAGAGTCCAGTTCTGACTCCACAAGTTTTCAAGGTATTACTAGTCAGAGTAAAGGTATAAAACATTTAGGGAGTCATGAAGAAGAATCCAAGTCATCTACTGCTGTTATTTAAGAGGTTGAAAATGATGAATTCGACCAGATAGACAGCGACAAATTGAATATTTGTGACAATGATCATGATAGTGCACATTTGTCTTTGTCTGAGCATGATGAGATGAGCGGAATGCCTACTTCTACTGAGTTGAACAAAAATTCCGTACAGTTTGAACGTGAACTAGAATTAAGAGCAGGTGCATTTGCAGAAG